CAGCACCTTGGTTTGTGTGCTGGAGCGCAGGCAAGGCTGGGGCGCAGGCAAGGCTGGGGCATTTTAATGGCTTTTTTAATGACAGACTCTGGAAGGAAGGGCTTCAGAATGAGACCGGTCTCCTAAGTGGATGGGAGATTATCAAAAGTACACACACAAAAAAAAAGGGGGGGGGGGGGCCCGAGAAGACAATGGTGTTGGTGATGGGGCATTTTAAAACCGTTGGTTTTTCTCCTATGGGAAGAGCAAGATCCTTGGAACCAGGAGTCACATATTTGACTCCTGGCACTCCCACTGATTGGCCCAAAACCTCTCCTGGTTTTTATGGGAATTAAGTACAGGTGCCTGGCTCCATGCATAAGACGTTCGTTCTCCTTGGCTGGAACTGTATGCCATCAAGCTGTAATCAGTTTAACAGAAATTATGCCCAAAACCTGAATGCTTATTGCCTGCTAAATCTGTTAGGCACTTTATGTGCATTAATGCATCTCTTAACAGCTCTGTGAGATATACCCTATTTTATCCCTCCACTTAAAGCTGAGAACATTGTGGTTTAGGGATGTTAAGTAACGGGCCTAAGATTACAATAGCTCGTAAGTGGGGAGCATGGGACCCAAACTCAGGCCTGGATGACGCCAGCTCATGCTTTCAGCTGCTGTTCTGTGTCATCTGAGACTTGTGAACAAGACTTTGATTTGTGACCTGGCTTTTGTTCAGAATTCCTATTTATTCATTTTTTCTGAGCAAGCGCACAGCCCACCTTCACCTTCTGCCGTAAAGCCTATATTATATTGCTTTAGCACTTAAATACCTTTCTGAACACATTCACATCTCCTGCCTTGTGTACCAAGTCCTTAAGAACCCACGCACCTGGATTAGGGTGAAGTTTCCATTGCATCGGTTGCTTTGTTTGTCACCTTAATCTTTCATTGAACAACTGTTTTTACTACTTATTAATCACTTAATATGTAAAGCACTAAACAAAAGAAACAAAAATCCCTGCCCTCTAGGAACTTGTATTTTATTTTATTATTTGTTTTAGGAGCTTGTACTTTTGTATTACTTTCTTCACCAACGCTAAGACTGGTGCCTGCTGAAATACTTTTTTAAGGCTTAACACCTTTATCTTTAAAATATATATACATTTTATTGATTTTTACCTAGAGGAAGGGAGAGGGATAAAGAATTAGAAACATCAGTGAGAGAGAAACATTGATCTGCTTCCTCCTGCATGTCCCCTATTGGGGATTGAGCCTGCAACCAAGGTACATGCCCTTGACTGGCATCGAACCTGGGAACCTTGTCTGTGGTCTGATGCTCTTATCCACTGAGCCAGACTGGTTAGGACAAGGCTTTATATCTTTAATCTTACAATTTCTTAAGATATTAAGCAGCTGATTTCCGGACATATTCTTTTCTCTTTAAATTCTTTGTTGTTTAATAATGTAAGTCTCCGTTTTCCCCCATTGACCTCTCCCCGCCGCCCCCACTCCCCAGCACATGCCCTTACACCCCCACACCCCTATTGTCTGTGTGCATTGGGTATGCTCATATGCAAGCATACAAGTCCTTTGATTGATCTCTTACCCCCTTACCCTCCCTCCCCCCCACCTTCCCTCATAGATTAGACTGTCTGTTCAATGCTTCTATGACTCTGGTTCTATTCAGGATGTTTTCTAATAACATTTCTTAAAAATTTCCCCAAGTTCATACCTTAATTCTTTAACATTTTATTTGAATTTTCTACTTAAGAAATTAAAGGCTTTAATTCCTTTAATGCATATATAAAGTAATTAAAAAATAAAACCAGAGAATCTACAAAATTTCTCTGGCCCCCCCTTCCCCCCCGTGTTAAGAAGCATCTATAAGATTGAACCACAAAATTAGTCCTCTCTCATGGAAAGAAAAGACGTTTTCTTTTAAGTAAACTAGAGGCCCCATTCACGAATTTGTGCATGGGTGGGGTCAGGCCAGGGGGAGGGGCTGTGGGCAGTTGGTGCATGTGTGCCCCCCCCCCAAAAAAAAAAAAAAACTCCTGGTCGAGGGGACAATTTGTGTATTAGACTTTTATTATGTAGGATTCATTGCTATCATCAAAACCTTTTGATTACTCACTTTCATCCGTCCTGCTTTTTGAGCCTCGTTGTTTTCATCTGCGTTGAGAATGAAACCCAGTGAGTCATGTTGTTTTATAGGGCATTGTGTGATTCCATCTGGTCAGTTTTTCTACCGTTAAAGATTCTCTTTTTGTATCCTGTAGCAAGAAGCTTGAATTGATTGCTTGGAATTATCCAAAGTATTTATAAACAGATCTTGCTCTTTTCCTACCTGTTGTAAAAATTAGTAGCTAGGTCATATTGTGTGTTTTGTTTTTTGTTTTGGAAAAAAATGTTTATTTGAAAGAAGCCATTACTCATATGCTGTAGCACCAAAAACCACTTGTTATCCTGAGTGAGGACAGTTGTCATTGCACAAGAACTGGATCAGCAGACCGAGGGCTATTAGGATGATGCGCAGCATCTCTGTTAAGTGCTTTTAACATTTTTATCATTAGAATGTCAGTTTCCTAAGAGTAGTGATTTTGTTGTTATTGAATCAGCATATAAAGCACCAGAGTAATGCATATTGTCTAGAAATTCTGTTGCTGATCTTGTTTTCTCTAAACTAAGCATCACAAATTGATACCATTTTATCCTGTCCAGTAATACTGGCGATCAGTTTGGAAATTAGGTACAATGTGATTCCAATATAATGTTGCTTGCTGTGGAAAAAGAATAATGGAAACACCAAACTCTGCTTGATTACATGTTTTCATAGAATCCTAATTCTAGAAGAATCTTAGTGATTTTAGTCTGATTCCTGAATCCTACATGAGGCCCAGAGCAACCCCACAGCTCCTAAATTCAAGTAACATGTGCTTGATCTGATGATGCATATTAAAATGCTTTGTGAGTTCTAAAATTTTATGCTGTATCTCTTCTGAAAGAGCCTGCACCTGGTGAAACTTATAGGTCTCTTCCTGCTCTGAAAGGCTCCGATTGTGTGTCCCTTTCCTTTTTTTTACGATGGGCTTCTTAATGCTTGAAAGCATGGAGCTCATTCATCTGGTTAATTTTTATTCATCCTTGGCAACAGATTACAGTGGCCGCTACAAGAAATCTGGGGTAGAAAGTCCCCGACATGCTGTTGGCAAGCCTATAGATTAGCTAGTGCTGGTCTTTTTCCAGGTGTGAGAAGGAGTATTGGAGGGATTTTCCTATTTGTGCAGCTGGAGAGACCAAACTAGTTCCTCATTTCTTACAGGGCCTTTGCACATGCTAATCCTTCACCCAGACTGCTTTCTCCCCACCTCCCTAGATACCCACTGCAACTTAGGTCAATATTACTTCCCTCTTGAACTCCGTGCTATAACATATTGCTCTTACACGAACTCTCCTTTTCCTTCAGGGCATTTTAAGCTCTTTATAATTACCCATTTCTGTGCTTTTTTGTTTGATTCCATTGGTCCTGTAGACCATAAACTCCATGTAATCAGGGACCATATCTCTCTTGTTCTTCATTATTGCCTCTTGATATAGCTCAGATGTTCACACTTAGAACTGTTCAAACATTCTTGAGTGTCCTAAACATGACGTTTGAAACCCTGCTTCTGAGCAGAAGCAAGGCATTAGCATATAGCTAATTTCAGGTTGCTGTTTTGATGAGGGTAGGGTATCTATTCACTTAAAGTAATTGATTATATCACATTTTAAAAGCTAAAAGTTTTGTGATCTGTTCTTTGAACCGTGTTAAAATTGTCCATGTTAAAATAGCCACGTCAAAGCTGTCACATCAAAATTCATACTTGTATTCCCTGCTTGGCCTCCTATTGTTACTTTTGCTTAAGTTTCATCCATTGCAGAAAGCATTCCCAAATTAGCCGTCACCAGTGTTAGTCCCAGAGTTAGCTAGAGGTACAGAAGATTCCACGGTGACACACACGATTGATGTTAGATTGCTTTTATGTTTTCCGTTGTGTCGCCTCCCACTTGGATTGTCAGGTCCTGTGGGAAAGGCAGCCTTGCAGCTTCACGTCATTCTCTCCGGCGCCCCGCCACTCTGCCACCTCACACTGGGACCGTGCTCTTCCTCAAGATGCACGGTGATAACATGTGCTGGGTGATAGACAGGAAACTGAGGCAATAACCTGTATTAACTTGGAAACCACTTTCAAATCACTAAGGGTGTGGTTCCTTATTTGCAACAGTAGCTTGATTCTACTGGTAAAAAAGAAAGTTTGTGAGAAACAGCAAGGGAAGTTGTTAAAACAAAACAGAGCTCTGTGTGTGCGTGCGTGTGTGTGTGTGTGTGTGTGTGTGTGTCCGTGTGTCCCCGTCCAGGCACTTTAATTCTACAGAACCAAGCTGGTGTTCTGTTTAGTATGCTTTGAAGTAGTAAGCTTGAGGAGTAGCATGGGAGCTTTATTTGCTACCTAAGCTTTCAAATAAGAATGGCTCAAAAACTACTTGGGGAACTGAAAGCATTGTCAGATTTATTCCTAGGCCTTCCCCCATCGGCATACCATATGTTGGCTCACCATTAAAATGAGGCCAAGGGTAGACCGCTTTGGGAGGAGGGTAATTCTAAAGGAAATGGAAATAGGAAATAAGCGCGCACATCTTTGGGCGTCCCAAACTATTGTTCACAGCCTCGAGAGAGAGGTTGTTGACGGAAGGTGCACAGTCTTCTCTTGCACTGGACAGGGCACTCTGCGCCAGGAAGCAAAAGTCCCTGGCTTCTGTTCTGAAGCGGCCAGAATAACATCTTCTCTGGTGTTTACATCCCAAGCTGCCTCTCTGTCCACTCGGTGTCCTCATCATTGCTTTTTGTTGTTTTCCTTCTTCCGTCCAAATGCTTTTTCCTGCCTGCTTATGGTTTGGGCTGCTCCCTTAATGAAAGTGTCCTCTTCTTTCCTGATGCAATTACTTCTGCCGCTGATCTGTTTATTTGTCCTTGTGCAGCTCAGCACTGAACGGGCTTTGGAAAGTAGAGAAGAAAATCCAGTCTGCTTTTGGGGGACATTGGACAGTCGAATAAATGCAGGTATGTACATTTGCATGTTAAAGACAAAAAGAAAAATAGCTTTTAAAAAGAATAATGAAACTGATCTTGAAATCCTTTAGTTCCTAAATATTGGTATTTTAACTTTTGTTCATTTCAAATGTTGAATGTTCTGCCTTAAAAAAAGCTTTTAGGGAGTAAAAAGTACAAGTTAAAGTTCTTTTGTGAACCCTCCTTGACATTCACTACTGTTATTTATATGTTTTCCCAGATTGTAGCTGTATATAACCACATATACATACTGTGCTTTTTTTTATTTTATTTTGTAGGATTTCATAAACACCTTTCAGTGTTGGTTCATAGAGATTTTTTTTTTTAATATATTTTATTGATTTTTCACCTAGAGGAAGAGAGAGGGATAGAGAGTTAGAAACATTGATGAGAGAGAATCATCGATCAGCTGCCTCTTGCACACCCCCTACTGGGGATGCGCCCGCAACCAAGGTACATGCCCTTGACCGGAATCGAACCCGGGACCTTTCAGTCTGCAGACTGACGCTCTATCCACTGAGCCAAACCGGTCCCGGCGATTCATAGAGCTTTATGTCAACTTTTCTAACAGCTGCATGGTATCTTTGTTGCTATTATTTTAAGGAATTCTCTCCTGTTGGACATTGTCGGTTGTATTTTTCCCCCCATTGCCACATCTTGTCTCTATGTAATTATGTGTGCTTGCCTGATTGTCTCCTCAGGGTGAAAGGGTAACACCATCTTTGTCTTCTTCCCCTGCCATGTCTGTATAGAACCTCCAGGACAAAGGCTTATCCACACTATGAAGAAGACTTAGCTAAAGTCTGCTCTCTATTCTCCATCTGTATTTTTCATTGTGGGGTGAATTTGGGTAATCAGGGTTGAGTTTTAGAACTTTCTTGCTTATGGTAATAGTTGATCTGAACCTCCAAGTAAGTTATGAGCTTAGTCTTTCAGCCTGGTTTCTGGGAGATTCTGGTTTTCAGGTTCATTTTAGAGATTAGATATGTAAAACTGAATGGTTCTCAGTTTGCAGCATTGAGGCACATACCTAGCTTACGCCCCTCCTATAATTGTCTTAGTTCACCGAGACAGGTAATAGACCAAGCACATGAATTTGGTGAAGACAACCATGACTGTTGTCTGTTCCATGTGACTTGTCTTGTTTTGAGGAGCCTCCTTGGGTTATTCTGCAAGCATGTAAGCCTCTGTGTTAGATACTTGGGAAACAAAGATGAATGACATAGTCCTTGTCCTAAGGGAACTCACAGCACAAGCAAGGGAGTAAGAGAGAGACAGACACACGAATAGGTGTCGTTAGTGCAGGGAGGTGAGTGTGGGAGAGAGCATCTAACTTAGGGAACAGGATGGGGGTCAGAGGTGGCTTCTTGGAGAAGTGAACATCTGAGCTGAGTTCTAAAGAAAAGGGATGCAGTGGAAAGGTATTTTTGGTAGAGGGATCAGCATGAGCAAAGTCCGGAAGGTGAGAAAAACAGCATTGGGGGAGAGATGGGGGTGGAGGTAGTTAGCAGGAAGATGGTAGCGTTGTGGGTGTGAGGCATGAAGTAAGAGGCCGGGAGTGATAAAAGATGAGATTAGTGAGGCTGGCTGGCAGGTGACGGAGGGCTCTGTGAGGCGTTGAGATTAGTCTGCAGATAGTGGGGGCCTTTGGAGGACCTGACTTGTGTTTCAGAGACATTACTTTGGGGGCTCAGTGAAGGCTGGCTTGGCAGGCAGGAGGAAAGCTGTGACCTCAGGTCAGGGAAATTAAGCTGTAGGCCGTTGGTGTTGGGGTGAGGGGAAGAAAGAATGTGTAGGGGTTTCCCTCTCCTTTCTGGCCTTGTCCAAGACTAGGTTGCTGAGGTTGGCTCTTTGACCCTAGTTGCTCTCCCTTTTTAGGAGACTCACATAAATGACTTTTTGCAAACTTCTCACCAGAGAGTTCTGACCCTTTCAAAGCAAGGCTGCCCACCTTAATTCTGCCACAGTGTGCTGCCCATCCTCCTGCCTGCCCATGGGGTGCCGGGGGCCTGGCTCCTTGGATTAATTTTCATGTGGTTTATGAACATGAATTACTTATCATTTTGTGTGTACTATGTAAGAGCCAGCCTGGCTGGGTTCTGGGGGTTTGGGGATAGATAAACATGATTCCTGCCCTTTCTGAGCTTGCAGTTTAGTGGAAGAGAGATATAAAATTAAAAGACAGCGTGATTCATGCCATAGCTCTATTCAAAGGTAAAATGATCCCAGTTGAGTTAGCAGCAATGCTAGTATCATTAGCATTAGTGGTTCCAGAATGAGCCACATTTTCCAATGATAGCTTGTGTGCAAACAGAGAAAATAAATTGAAACCTGTCTAAAGTTATTCTGATTTTTGAGAATATGGCCTGACAATACATGATTAATTAGAATGTGTAATAGATTATTTTCCACAGTTTCACACGTCACAAGCCCGGATGCATTTGATGTTCAGGGAGGGAAGGGGCAGAGAGAGGTACTTACCCAGCATCACAGATTTCTGCTTGCTCTCACCTTCATAACACTCTCCTTTACTGCTGGAGCTCTCAGCACACGGAATGACCACAGCCTTATTTTCCTTTCAGTATCTAAACATCAAAGAGGACTGCAATGCCATGGCTTTCTGTGCTAAAATGCGGAGCTCCAAGAAGACCGAGGTGAACCTGGAGGCCCCTGAGCCTGGGGTGGAAGTGCTGTTCTACCTGCCAGACAGGGAGCCCCTGCGGCTGGGCAGCGGGGAGTACACAGCGGAGGAGCTGTGCATCAGGGCGGCGCAGGAGTGCTGTGAGTACCGGCTGCTGCCGGCCCGGGGCGGGTTTCAGGGGTACACCATCCCAGAAGCCCATCCGGGCGTCTCTGTCCTGACGGCTTTGTTGAGTGGAGAGAGAGGTGTGGACTCTGGGAGTCAGGGGTTCGGCCCTGCCTCTGCCACTTACTTACCCTTGACCTCAGGCCAGTGACTTGAATTCTGAGACTTTCACTTTCCTCATTGCAAAGTGGTTTTTTTCCTGCTGTCACTAATGAGCCGTGGGATACCCAGGGACAATGCTTGCCCTCTGTGAAGACTTCGTTTTTATTTCCCCTATGTCTGTGAAATCGAAGAATATCAGCACTAAAATGAGCAAAGCTCAAACTTATTGGCTCCATAAGTAGTACCTCTTATAATCATAATGTTCAGAACTTCAGACAAGTGTGATTCATCCTGCGGCTGTGGCCTGCCCCCGCCCCCACCCCCACCTCCGATGTGATGCTGAGGTGAAGTGAGAAATATAGTGTCACTTTGTGGCTTGGTCAGATTGCCAAGTTGTGAAAAGGACAGTGAGGTTGTGAACAACACAATCCATTTTTTAAAAAAAATGAGGCTTATATTACTAAACTTAGCCTGTTGCCTTCAGAAGGTGAAAGCCAAACTGAGTAACAAAATAAAGCCTTTTTCATTATCTTTTAGATTTGGAGTCATTGGCCGTGTTTGCCACTTGCTTTTAAATGGCAAAGTCATGCCATAGAAACATAGAGATTTAAGTCCACTCTGTGGAGAATTAGCAGCCTCTATTCTAACTGACTCAGGAGAATGTTACAGAAATTTATTGATTTTGGAAATGCATGAACACGGGATGCCACATTCTTGTAGCTCTTATTATTATATTAAGTGGTGTTTGAGGGCAGTATGGATTTCTTCCATGTTTTTCATTATCATTTGGCAAATTTATATAATTTTAGTTCTCCTTATTTCACCTACTCAGTAGTTCTAGTTTGATTTGAATCCCAACTTTGCATTTTACTACTGACCGAATAACTTTGAATCAAACTAAATCCCAGGAGGCCACAGTACCTTTTATTTGTAAAATGGCATGCATAATATCTCATTAGGTGCTTAGGAGAATTGAAAGATAATAAATGTAGAGTGTGTTAGCCTGATGCCTGACACTGAACCCTCAGCAGTGTTAGTATTGCTATTATTCCATACTTTTATATAAAAAGATACCTTTGATTTTCCTATTTATGAATACTAATATTACTAGAATCAGATCTGTAGAGAATTACAGACAGATCCATGATTATAAATGAGTTATGCTTAAATATGTATGTGATTGCACACTCAAATGTCTGAAGAAAGGCCTGGTTTCTAGGCCAGTCCACAAAAGCCATTTTGTGAATAAAAAAATGGTATACCTGAAACACAGTCCTCTTAATACTGGATCCAAAAATCATTTGCCTTTGTTCCCTTTAACCATTTTAAATGGTTTCCAGCTTAAGTCCCTCCTCTCTGTTACGAGGAGGAGTGTTCTGAAGGGGTAGCTCCCAAATAACTTGAGAAGCAGGAACTGAGGTGAGGGTTTAGCTGATGCATTGAGATGTCAAGAGGTTGCAGCTTCTTATCTCAGCCTGTTCATTGGAGAGTCCCTGCCTAGGCAGGTCAGGCTGGCGAGAGTCCCCATGGCTGCCTGTCTTACTCCAGATGTCTAATTTGGGAAACAAGGACCAGTTACCTCATATTCTCACATTATTTTCGGTTTAGTTCACTGTGTCTTAGTTTGAGGCCTGACTGCTCATGAAATATGATTATTTGCAATCATTTTCCTCCCGTGCCCACTTGCTTTTAGATTACAGGTGCGTGTAATGTTAATCTTGGACTCAGAAGTGAGCGAAAGGTGCTTTTCTGGCTTCATATCTCCTGTATCTTTTGGGTCTGTCTTGTACCAAAAGAAGCAGTTGGTGGGGTGGGGAGGCAAGGGAGCTTATTGAACCACCTTTGTTAAGCAGGTAGCTTCTTCTTAGTTGGCTGCATATTTATGATAATGCTGCAAAGTGCTTACATATATTTTTTATTAATGGTAATAGATCTTAATCACTGACAAAAATCACTGTGGTTATTTATTCTAACACATGGTTTTATCTGCTACTGCCAGAAACCTCTTTGAATGTTTAATATATATATTAGAATTGTTTAAATGTTTTCTGTAGGAGACAGATTGGGGACCTCTCAAACTCCAAGAATGTTTCCAACTGATTAGCAAGGTGAATTCAGGCAAAGGGTCTGGAAACCTCTCAGCCTTTTTTAAAGCAGGATTTGGTAAGACTGTTGTAGACACTGAGAAATATCATGAAACATCCATTTTAAATGGTTTAAATCTGGTTTGCCAAGAACTATAGTACATATTGTTGGAAGCCATAGTTATTATTATAATTAAAACTGCTTGATTGAACATGCTTGGAAGTCTTATTTGCCCTCCGAGAATACGAATGTGACCTAGATTCTTTCTGGATGAGAGAATTTCCTATGTTGCATATATCATGCAAATATATCTATCTTTGACATTTTGATATGTTCTTTACTTTTCCCCAGGTATCTCTCCCCTGTGCCACAACCTCTTTGCCCTGTACGATGAGAGCACCAAGCTCTGGTATGCTCCAAATCGCAGCATTACTGTTGACGACAAGACATCGCTCCGGCTCCACTACCGGATGAGGTATGGGTGCCTGCCTGGCTTCCTCAGGTGGGAAGGGATGGCGGTTAGCCTAGAGGCCTGAGTCACTTACTAAGAAATACTGTAGTCGTTTTTGTAATTTGTAAGCCGTAAGTTTGCTTGGTATGAGAAAGGACTTTTTTCAGTTTTTGGAATACGATTCAAGATGAATTTGACCACCTTCTTCTGCCACATCCTAGAAAAGAAACCATTATGATGCAGAGGGTATTTTGAATAAAATTAGTGTCCTGAGGCAGAGTTTTTCAAATGGTGAATCATGGTTATGAATTTACTTTAGTAAGTTGTGACCAGAATTTGTTTTAAAAAAGAAGCAGGCAAGAATAAGTAATATCAGCATTTACACTGAGTGGCCAGATTATTATAATCTCTGAATGCATAATAATCTGGTCACTCAGTGTATATCCTATATATTAGTAAAAGGCTAATATGCAAATTGTCCCTTCAACCAGGAGTTCGACCAGCAGGCAGGCCAGCCAACTACCCCTAGCCAGGCTGGCTGGACCCCACCCATGCATGAATTCATACACCGGACCATATATATATAATGTACACACACACACACACTGAGTGGCCAGAATTATGCATTCAGAGATCATAATAATCTGGCCTCTCAGTGTATACATATCCTAAGAATATTGTTTTTGAAAGCATTTGTTTGAGACATATAGTACATATGAGTGTATTAGGTGATTATTTGATAAAACATATTTCTTACTAAAAGTTGCAGCTAAGGAGGTTGAGAAGCACTGCCTGCAGTGGGATCCTGCACATGCTAGGTGGGCCTTGTTCCCGGGGTAGATGTTCGAATCTACCCCCTGGGCTTTGTGTAGCGGGCTGTAATTCTTCTTCAGATGGGTATTTGCCTTTTCTCCTGTATCATAGACCTTGTCAAATGTCACATAGCCTCCCAAGTGGCATATATCGTCAGTACTTCTTTGTTAATAGATTCTTGAGTTTATAAGCATATTTGTTCTGTACCTAGAATTGGGAGAATGGTGGTTAGGTTGTAGTTAAGCACAAGTGAACATGTGTATTTAGCAAAGGATCTTATAAATAGAGTGGCTACTTTTTGAAAAGGATCTTAACAAACATAGATGTGATTAAGGTTAGCTCAGGGGCTGATGGGATGCAGGCGCATGCTAGAAAGGCCCTCGGGATCTCAGGTGCTCTCCACAGTATCTTAGCGACTACTGCCTCAGGGAAGTCCGTAGAGTTGTTTCCATTCCAGAATGGCCTGGATGTTTTCCTCAGCAGAGCTGAATCAGATTTACTTTCTTTTATAACCATCCTAGGGCTGACTTTTTCTCTTCTTTCTGTATTTACCCAAGGTCTCACCTTATGAGGAGAGAAAGATGTTAGCACGATTTTACGCCCCAGATTTAGGGAAACATTCACCCCACCCTGCTGAGCCTTCAGACTGTATCTGGGTTTGTTTTTCAAAGTGTGATCTTGCTTTCTGTGGCCTGGGGGCTTGCTGTGTGATCCAGCATTTAAACATGTGCTTGCAGCTCCCAATCTAGGAAGAGGGCATTGTCACAGTTCCAGTTCTTTTCCTTCTAGGTTTCTCTCCTTGGTTTGAAATCTAGAATGGTAAAAGGAAAACTTGGAAGAGACCTGAGTTTACTAATTCAACTCTTCCAACTGTTTCGGGGGAAACTGGTATCCAGAAGAGAGAGTGAGTTTCCCAAAGTCACACAAGAAGTGGATCGCCTTGTTGGCACAGAGGCCTCTAGGAGGCACTCATTTTTGTCGGTTGTGTGAGTGCCTCCCTGTAGAAGCTGCCTTTGCCTGCTCCCAGCCTCGTGGCTGCCAGGAAGTGCATGGCCGCTTCATTTTTGGCACCTTGACTTTGTACCTGACATTGCACTTCGACAGGATATTGCTTTGTTACCACAGCTCTTTGAACTTGGGGCAAAAAAGATCCCACCCTAAGCTAAAACACTTGCATTATAACAAACTACAAACATTTCAAAACCTTACAATCTCACCACTAAAGAAGGTGTAATATGAAAATAAATGTTGGCAACTATTTCAGTGGAATCTCAGCTCTATTTTGGGAGATAATCTTCAATTATAGTTTTCTGTTTTTAGATAATGATTTTGATAGTTATTGTTTTATACGGTAATATATTCATATAAGGCAAGCATATTCTTTATTCCTTTTTAAGGAAAAAATGCTTCCTTTTCCCATCTAAATGAATTTTAGTATCCATTAGTAAACTTCTAGAGAAACCTGGAGAGAATTTGTTGTATAAAATATCTGTACATAAGCTTAGACTATGCAGTCATCTGTAATACAATTTTCCTCAACTTGCAAGGAAGGCATATCTCTGATAATAGGTCTACCTGTCCATCTCCCCTCCCTCCCTCCCTCCCTCCCTCCCTCCCTCCCTCCCTCCCTCCCTCCCTCCCTCCTTCCCTCCCTCCCTGCCTCCCTGCCTCCCTGCCTCCCTCCCTCCCTCCCTCCCTCTCTCTCTCCCTGCCTCCCTCCCTCCCTCCCTCCCTCTCTCTCTCCCTGCTTCCCTTCCTCCCTCCATTTTTCCTCCACATCATTCTGAAAAGGAATCTGGGTAGCTGTCATACTACATTTATTTATGTTGTTCTTTATTTTTCCCCATTAGCATGTTATAATATTAGGAATTAGTGTTTGGCCCAAGTTTGATGAACATTTTCATAATTAATTTTAAAAGGGATGTAGAATTTCTGTCCTCAGTGTAATTCTAGTTTTGTCTTATTAGAACAGAATTGGGAAGATGTTGACTTTGGTGTTACTGCTTTAACTTTTGTCTTGTTTTGTCACCTTATTAGATAGAAAGCTGACAGCCTTTGACTGGAGGCAATTTCTAGAGATAGAGCCTTGCTTTAGGCCCCCTTCAGCCTTCAGTGAGGTGGAGAAGCTGCACATTGTCTTTGATCCCCTTGTCCTGTACTGTCTGAACATCTTGCCTAAAGGCTCCCAAGCCAGAGTAGTCTCTGAGGCTCACATAGCAGCCTTGGAGAATGTCTGTGTTCCCATAGTCTGCCCAGAGGAGTTTGTTGGGCCCTTGGCTCCACCTGGTCCAAGGACTCTTAGTCCCAGAGAGACTCAGTGGGATGTAGAAGACGACGACCATGACTTGGACTGCTTCAGGGAAAATCTGTCTTCAGTGCTTCTCTTTCAAACAATTTTCTCTATCCTTGAGAACCTTTTTCCTCTTGTCCTAGGTAACCTTCCACATTGTACACAGTCCTCGTTCTCTGCACTGTCAAACAGAATTTACCTGTCCTTCCAGCTCCCCTGTCAGAGCCCTGCATTGAATCTTTGTATAATAGAGTGCCGGGCACATGGTGAGCATGCACAAGCTCTTAGCCACCATCTTCATTTGTCCTGTTTAGACCCTTTTACCGATCGCTTTCCGGGCAGACCCCCAGAACTTCTAGTAGACCTCTAGTTATTGTCTGAATGACCACCCAGGTTGCAGGTTCGATCCCTGGTCGGTGTGTGTGGGAAGCAACTGATTAATGTTTCACTTTCACTCAATGTTTCTCTAAATAAAAGCATGTCCCCTGGTGAGGATTAAAATAAATAAAAATGAAACTTTAATATTTTTATGTAGAGGAAAGGAAAACTGTAAGTGGGGGTGGGGTGGGGGGGATCCATGACAGTCATAGTATAGTCCTGTTTATGAGATGTGTTCCCTTGTGAGTTACTTCATTGTCATTGTTGGATTGACTGATTGCCATATGAGCATGGAGTCAGGGAACCTCACCGATTCTCCTGAGAACCCTTTGCCTCACAGGGCCTGGCACGTGCCAGGCTGTGCAGCTACAGCAGTGACGCGTGTCTGAGTTTAATGGCAGCTCCTTTAAAGGTGGCTTTGGGAGGCAATGTTATTTGTTGTTTCTCCATGCTGTGTTGTTTTTCATGAGCACATGGGCATGTCAGGGAGAGAGATCCAGGCACCAGCGGAGCCTGCAGCCTAGAGGGAGCCTGGTCAGCTTGGCTCCCTCCCTTTCATGCATTGCAGAACTCGTGCTTCTCTCAGGTGACTGAGGAACCTGGCAGCAAGAGAGCAGGCTTCTGGTCTTAGGTCACCTAGCCTTTAGAAACTTCCGTTTTCCTCCTCTGAACAAAGAAACAATGGAATCTGCCTGGTATAGTCGCTGTAGGGATTAAATAGCTTTCTGCATCTATAGTGCTTATTAATTGAATTCGCAACACTACAACCTGGTGCTTGTAGTAGTTAATCATCATTTATTTCTCCATTTTAAAGCTTTATTATAAGATAAATCATCAATTTAATAATAGCAATCTGAGAAATAGGAAACACTGCCATATTAACTGTACGCCTTGGCTGTGTGATGACATTAGTTTTCAGAAATGTAAAAGTGTAAGTGAAATGTCTTGGATTCAAGGCAGGATGGTATTATTAAAGGTGAAGGGAGGCACTGGCTAGCCTCTACGTCAGCCAGCGTGTTTTCCTGTTCAGGAAGACATCATGAAAGTTGCAGGCGCTATCTGTGTGATCTTAAGGAAGTCACTTATCTCCGAGTCATAGGAGGCTCTGGCAGGACGCTCTTCAGGAAGTGTTGTAAGAATGAAAAGAGAAGGACCTTATAAGCAACCAAGTGCTACAGACGACGGAAGGTCTGTCTGTCTGCTTGCTTCTCTGGAGGGTTAGTCTCTAATTCTGGTAAGTCAGGTGGAACCAGGACATGACTCCCATACATTTCAAGGCCCTCATTCCCACAGCTGACACAATCTTACTGCGTTCTAGGTTCTATTTTACCAATTGGCATGGGACCAATGATAATGAGCAGTCGGTATGGCGACATTCTCCAAAGAAGCAGAAAAATGGCTACGAGAAAAAAAAAGTTCCAGATGCAACTCCTCTCCTTGATGCCAGCTCTCTGGAGTATCTGTTTGCCCAGGTAAGAAATTTGGGGCCAGGAGAACCTAGGCTCATGGGATGGGGGAGGCGTTGAGGGTTCAGATTCTTTGATGCAGCTGAACTTGGTGGGGGGCTAGGATACTTCCCTTTTTGGTTGTAAAACAGCTAGGAGACGTTATAGCCTCTCCCATGGACAGTTCTTGCCACCCCTGGACTTCCCCAACTGAGGAGGGAAAGGCAGCAAGTCAGTGTTCCAGGGGCTGTTTATCCCCCTGTGGGCTTCCCTTCTCACCTGTTCCCATTCCTCTCCTTTCCCCTTCGCCTCCTACCCTTTTACTTCTCATCTGCAGCCTTCCTGGAGAGCGCGGAGGGAACCTGTAGGCACGGGACGGTGTAGTGCAGTGGGGCTGATGAGGACACTTCTCAGCAGTCACAGGAACGTTCGGGAGGAAGAGCATGACCACTCCGCGTCAGGGGCGGTAGAAAGATGAGACACTAGGAAAAAGCCAGGAGAGAAGTTAGGATCATCTAAGTCACATGACCCTGAGATAGCATCTACGAGAAGCATATATGCATATAACATTTTTGTTTTTATGTTTTCTGGTTGTACCAAGCAGATATGCATTATACACTATGTAGTTTTTGAAAACGTTTTGCTGTTCACATGATTTTATAAATTGGATTTTTTATTCATCTTATTTTTGTTCCTTCAACTTTCAATTTAAAATATAGATTTTTGTTATTTCAACGACTTCATAGTAACCAGCTTATTCAGCTCACATGTACCGAGTGTCTGCGTACTCTTTGCTGAGGCGCTGCAGATACTGTGAACAAGGCAGAGGTGGTCTCTGCAAGCATCAGACATGCCATCAAGTTGGGCAAACAACAAACAAACAGGCAGTTAAAATGATACGTAGGTAATACATAGACATTGTGAGCAGTGCAATGAAGGAAAAAATAATATGGGGAGGCGTGAGCTCTGGGGAGACCAACTTACAATAGTGTGATAGAAAAGGCCTCTTTCAGGAGGTGACATTTATTCTGAAATTTGAAGAATAAGAAGAGTCTGCACGTCTAAGAGAGGAGTAGGGAAAGGATCTCTTCCACGTAGAGCAAGCTTTTCAGCAGCAGCACCGCTGACATTCTGAGCAGAATAGATTTTCATCGTGCGGGACTGCACCACCTCTAGGCATTTACCCACATTCCTGGCCTCCACTCAGGAGATGCCAGGAGCACCATCCTCCCAGTGGTGACAATTCAAACTGTCTGCAGACATTGCCCAATATCCCTCAGGGGCAAAATCTCTCCTGTTGAAAACATTTGATACAGAGAATGTGGGAAGCCCCGAGGTGGGTGAGCCCTGAGAGGAGAATCAGTATGGCTGGAGAAGGACTGGAGGGTGACGGGAATGAGACTGGTGCGGGGGATTGGGCAGGCCACATAGAACCTTGTTATGTGCTGGCAAGGGGTTATCTTCCCCCATCCAAGTGTGATGAAGAACTATTTGGAGGGCTTGATTTTATTGACGTTTGAAGTCGATTTCTCTTGCTACAGAGAAAAGAGGATTGTGATGCAGCGAGAGCACACGTCAGCTGAGAACTTGCTGTGATTGGTCCCAGGGGAGAGAATGCTTGTTTAGCTTAGTGTGGTAGCAGTGGAGTTGGAGAAAAGTGGATGGGTCTGTGATTACTTTCAGAGATAGAATTAATATGTTTTGTTTTGTTTTGTTTTTTTAAATACTTTACTGATTTTTTTTTTTTTTTTTTTTTTTTTTTTTTTTTTTTTTTTTTTTTTTTTTTACAGAGAGGAAGGGAGAGGGATAGAAAGCTAGAAACATCAATCAGCTGCCTCCTGCACACCCCCAACTGGGGATGTGCCCACAACCAAGGTTTGGAACCCAGGACCCTTCAGTCCGCAGGCCGATGCTCTATCCACTGAGCCAAACCGGTTTCGGCAGAATTAATATGTTTTGCTAATGAGTGGGATGTGGAAGCTGAAGGAATTTGAAGGATCAGAGATGATCTGAGATTCCTGTTTGGGCAATGCTTGATCGATAATGGGAAGACTTAAGAGGAGCAGGTTGGAGAAGGGGTGGGAATTGTACGTCTTTTTATGGAGATTCCTGTGAGGCACCCACATGGAGATTTCAGGTAGGAAGTTGAGTATGAGGAGGAATTCAGGAGAAAGCCATCATTTATCTAACTAATCTCCTGTTTCTAGACATGTTTTATTTTTCTCAGGTTTTCCCTGTTAGCTGCCTGTCACTGTGATAGGCTGTGAGCAGCCTCATACATACATGTTTGTGCGTAGTGTTTTATTGATTCCTTAGGATATACTTTCATACAAGTAATTTTGTCACAGTTATATTCCATGTATTTCAGCTTCAGTGCCTGGTTACACTCCATCCCCATCCCACACACAGAGAGAAGTGCACAGCCATGGGCAAGTGCTGGAAAAATGAACTGGCCGTTTTCGGATTGGTCTTTTTGAATTCAGCCTCCCAGTTCTGTTACCTTTTGGAGAGAGGAAGTGTAAAGGAAGAGGGTGCCATTCATTAGGAGTTCGGTATAGCATTACAATCTGACCTTTTGGAGCTTTAGGAATGAGCTATGTGAGGTTTGCAATGATGTTTACAGAACAGAATAGTCTCAGCGCTTGTTCTGTCTTCACACGTTGCTGGCCGAGGCGATTGTTGCCAGCACTCGGTGGCATGTGGAAGCGGTCAGTGTCCCGTTCTCACCTGGGAGAAAGAGAAGTCCTATCTTAGAGAGAAGGAGAGCTGCCTTGGTGAGAATCCTCCATCCAAAACCACTAAAGTCCCTCCAGGGAAAGTGAGTGGCTTACTTATGTGGGAACACCGCCTCCAGACCTTGTGTCTACTTCTGTTCACAGCTAGAAAAAGGCGAAAGGCTTCCAGTCCTCAGCGTACTGTATGTTTTAAGTTACAGGGATTGAGTGCGGCTGTAGCGCAGAGTTGAACAACCATAGACCTGGAGTCCTATCTAAGTTAAACTCTCTTCCCCACCACTCCCTAGGTCCCTGGCCTCTGTGCCATGTTATCTTTCTAATTGACTTTGATTTTTATAACTACCTGATAATAAATATTTCTGTTGGTCTGTTCTTTGAATGGAATCTCCATGAGGTCAGGGATGTAGTTTGGTTTGCTATATCCCTAGCACCTAAAATAACATCTGGCCCATAATTGGTTCTAAGTAATTCATAGTCATCTAATGAATGAATGAAGTCATTTAACCTTTGGCACCTTAGATTCCTCATTTGTTAGGTAGTGATGATGTTAACATCTGCCTCACAGGGCTGTTGTGAAGATAAAGGAGACAGTACAGTGTCTAGCACTGAGCTTAGGGTTTAATAGAGGAGAGCTAGCATTGACATCATCTTCATCAGTCTGTACACCGCAGGTGGTGGGTACAGCTTTTTGGTTCTATTTATGTATTTAGCCCTCATTGGCTCTTGGAATGCTGTGCACCTCCCTTTAGTATTTTAGTTACACATTTCATACTGGAAAGTTGAGCAGCAGATGTTGAAAAAACTTACAGGAGGTAATGGCGCATTGTAGAATGTGCACTTCTCCCCCTTCCTCTAAGTCTGCATCAGAATGGGGTGTGGTGCCCTGTCAGTCATACACCCAGTGTCGAGACGAGGCTATCTCCGTGCATGCTCGTGGAATTAGTGTGATCAAACCCCAGCCAGCCGTCACCTTCCCATGCCCTGGTGCAATCTAAACCTAGTACGACACTGCTGCTCACCATTTACAGGGGAACCCCTATAAATACCTGTGCTCTTCACCAGGACCTAGCATATGCTCAGTAGCATTTGATAAATGAATGACTTAGCCTGGGGAGAACATCTCCTGAGCCCCTTCAAACCCAGCTGTTGAGAAAGGACTTTGGTGTCAGACAAACTAACTGTGTTTTGTTTTTTTTAATTAAAAAAGTTTTAATGTTGACATTGCAGGTGTCCCCACCACCACCCCTCCCACCTTTTGCCCTCCACCCACTCCCTTGGGTTTTACCACACTATTGTCTGTGTCCGTGGGGTATGCATGCATTTTTTTTTTTAAGCTAATCTCTTCATCATCTTTATCCATCCAGTCATCCCTCCTCTCCTTGTCTCTGACAACCACTAGTCTCTTCCATATATCCATGCTTCTGGTTCCATTTTGATCATTAGTTTATTTTGTTCATTAGATTCCACATATGAGTGAGATTATATGATATTTGTCTTTCTCTGACTGGCTATTTCCCTTAGCATTGTAATCTCCAGGTCCATCCATGCTGTTGCAAAGGGGTCAGAGTTCTTTCTTTTTAACAGCCACATAGGATTCCATTATGTGAATGTATCACAATGTTTTTATCCACTCATCAACGTTTTTATCTGCTAGCACTTGGGCTGTTTCCAGATCTTGGCTATTGTAAACAATGCTGCAAAGAACATAAGGGTGCATATATTCTTTCTGATGGGTGTTTCAGGATTCGTAGGATATATTACCAAAAGTGGGATCACTGGGTCAAACAGCAGTTCTATTTTTAGTTTTTTGAGGAAACGCCATTCTGTTTTCCACAGTGGCTGCACCAGTCTGCATTCCCACCAGCAGTGCACGAGGGTTCCCTTTTCTCCATGTCCTCACCAGCACTTGTGTGTTGCAAACTATCAGGCTTGTTAGTTTCATTGCTGTGCTGCTTCTCTGGGCAGCACCTCCCTGTGTGGAGAACCTGCCTTTCAAGATCAGAAACATGGATTTATGCTTGTAACTTAAGTGTGGTTCATTTCTTCTCGCCTCTGCTCCAAAGGGACAATATGATTTGGTCAAATGCCTGGCTCCCATCCGAGACCCCAAGACTGAGCAGGATGGGCACGACATCGAGAACGAGTGCCTGGGCATGGCCGTGCTGGCCATCTCGCACTACGCCATGATCAAGAAGATGCAGTTGCCAGAACTCCCCAAGGACATCAGGTAACCTTTCTCCTGGCTAACAATGGATTGTGGGGATGGTGTTATTTTTATATGTTCTCGAGAATCTCAGTGTAACCTCTGCCAACTTCTGGCTGACCTCTCCATAGGGTACAAATGTTTTTAGATTATCTATAAAAGGTAACACAATGATGATTGTGTCCTGATTTTAAATGTTGGCTGATGACCTCAGAATTGTGTATGAGGGTGAATGTTCTGGGCCAGGGATGCCAATCAAATTAGTGGCCCACATACCCTCCCCTTCCTCTCCGCCCATGGTGAGCATTGCCATCTGTCATTGCATTTTCTCTTTTTGTGCTGGACCCATCTTTAAATCCTTCTCAATATAGCTCTACAGGTAGTCACTACCATCCCTAACCTGAGCTAGAGTTCACTAGAGAGCTGTTAATTCTGATGTGAAGGATGGTCATTCTATTTTAAGGAAATTGTATGTCAGATGCATTCAAGTCTTTGTGAAGTAATATTCAGTCTGTATAATTTTAATTTCCACACATTTACGAAGTCCATTTTTTCCATTGAGCTATTGTGATGTCATAAGTGAATACAGTCTCATTATGAGAGGAAATGATATGTAGCTGTACTATTTGTTGTAATAGTGGCATGCATTTTCTCAGAAGGTTACTTCTTGCATCTCAGTATCTCTATCCTTGACTGGAGTCTGGAGCAGTTCATGACTGCTCCTCAGTAATACAGGCACTGATTAGATCCATGCTCTGTTCCTACCTTTTTTTTTTCCTGTGGCTTTTGCTCTGGGCACCTCCTCTTTATTTTTTCAGGAGGCTGGCAATTCTCCTCTAGTCTTTCCCTCCATTACATTACCCTTAAAAAGTTAGGGTATTCATTGGGGATGAACTCCCAGCTGCACACTTTTCACTGTTTCGAAGCCATTCACACAGCAGGGGTTACTCTGTGCCAGGTACTGCCTCCGACCCAGAGTGATAGGAACACCAGTCTTCTCACCTGCTTGGCCCCCAGTGGACTTGTTCTTTCTTTCTTTCATGGGTATTCTTACTCTTTTTAAAGCTGGCTCCTGGTCTAGCAGTTTGAGATTTTATTAGTCATAGATACTTTCCCCTTAACCCCCTGCTGGATGATAATCTTTCAGCTTACTTTTGGCATTTTCACATGGCAAATACTTTGTATTTAATTAGCTTCTCTGTATATATAAAAGGCTAAGTGTCCGTCTGTCCGACTAGTAGCTGTGACATGCACTGACCACCAGGGCCATACTCTCAATGCAGGAGCTGCTATGACACACACTGGTTGTTTAAAAATAAATGCACTGTGGACCTGGCACCGACAAACCAACACTTGGCTCTCCCAAGTGGGACTAGGCCCTGCCACCACCCCTGAGCAACACTCCACCAAATCGCAGCCAATGCTGCCAAGACCCTATAATGCAAAATGCGACCCACAGTCCAGTCCAGCCCAGCCCAGCCCAGCCCAGCAATGTTGGCTCTGGGTACCAGGTAATGATGTCACATATTAGTGCCAGGCTTCCTCTCCCTAGCAACTAGCTCCTTGCAGTTTCTTCAGCCCAGGGAGGGACCCGACTTGCTTTATAGCCAGGTGCAGACATTTTATAGTTTAACCAAATATTAGTGAAGCATTTCCCCATGCCTCATCTCATTTGATCCTCACAGAGATCCTGGAGTAGGTAGATAGGAGACTTGGTAGAATCCTATTTTCTTTTCATTAGCAAGATGCAAATAACAATGTTAAAATATTTCTTCTATTAATTGCCTTTCAGTGTGCATGAATCTGTGCACTGGGATGCTAGTATAGATATTTTTTCATTTCTAATAAAAAACAATATGTGGTCTTCATAGGAAAATTATAAAACAGGCATGCAAGTAAAACATAGAAAGCACCAATAATAACTCTTGACACCTTTCAGACCACTTTCAAAACCAATGCTGTATCATAGTCTTTTTATGTGAGTACCAGTATGTACAGGACAATGACACTAGCAAGCAAGAGCATAGCTAAGTCAGTTTGATGGTACTCACAGGAACTCCCATCTCAATAAGGTCTGTGGAATATGTACTTTTCTATTCTCTTTCAGTCCCTATTGACTTGTTTATCTCCTAATACTATCTTCCTCAGTGCTCACTCCATCTAATGATCTGGGAGTAGATCCTTCTTTCTCATCTGACAACATGTAGAAGGTGTAAGGGAGATTTATAGACTTAGGTTTGTTTCTAAACTATTCTCTACTAACCTCTTTGTGAAAAAACAATGAATTTTTCTACTTTCTTTTAGCTACAAGCGATATATTCCAGAAACATTGAATAAGTCCATCAGACAGAGGAACCTTCTTACCAGGATGCGGATAAATAATGTCTTCAAGGATTTCCTAAAGGAATTTAACAACAAGACCATTTGTGACAGCAGCGTGTCCACACATGACCTGAAGGTGAAATACCTGGCGACCTTGGAAACTTTGACAAAACATTATGGTGCTGAAATATTTGAGACTACCATGCTAATGATTTCATCAGAAAATGAGATGAATTGGTTTAATCCGAACGACAGTGGAAATGTTCTCTACTATGAAGTGATGGTGACTGGAAACCTTGGAATCCAATGGAGGCAGAAACCGAATGTAAGTGGTGATAGGTGGCTGACCAAAACAGAGCATCCAGACGCAGATCCCATTGGAGTTCCTGTTTGCATGCCCATCACCCCGTCAGCTGAGTTTGTTTAGGCAGGAGACCCATATCATTCATTCTTTTTTTTTCTTTTCTTTTCTTTTTAAGAATTTTTAATTGATTTTTAAAGAGAGACGAAGCCGGAGAGAGAATAGAAACATTGATGTGAAATTGATAAATCGATTGGCTGCCTTCTACACGGTCCTTACCAGGTATGGAAGCCACAACCCCAGCCTATGATCTGACCAAGAATCGAACTTGCGATCTCTTAAGTGCAGATGCCCAACCAATTGAGTCACACTGGCCAGGGCTATCATTCACCTTTTTTTTTTTTTTTTTTTTTAATATATTTTATTGATTTTTTACAGAGAGGAAGGGAGAGAGATAGAGAGCTAGAAACGTCAATGAGAGAGAAACATCGACCAGCTGCCTCTTGCACACCCCCTACTGGGAATGTGCCCGCAACCAACATACATGCCCTTGACCGGAATCGAACCTGGGACCTTTCAGTCCGCAGACCGACGCTCTACCACTGAGCTAAACTGGTTTCGGCTATCATTCACCTTATATTGCGTCCATGTAGCAGTAGGTCTAAACATTTATTGACTATTAAGGGGAAATAGAGAAATACAATAACATATATAACATGTAGTATTATAATAACAGCAGATATTGCTTGTGTTTACCATGTACCAAGAGTACTTTTCAAAACATTTTACATGTATTAGCTCATTTATTCCTTGAAAAGCAAAAACCTTGGAAGGGAATACTGCCATTATCTCTATTTTATAAATGAACACTCAGAGACACAGAGAAATTAAGAAATTTGTCCAAGGTCATAACTAATAAGTGATTATGCCTCTGACTCCATGAAATAGGATAACTGATTTTTTAATTTGAAGCTTCTTTATGAAGTATTTGTTAAATGAAGCAATAGAGCAGAGGGGTTTCAAAGCATGGGTTTTAACCCTAAATGGACCTGGTTTAAATCTTAGCTTGACCTATATCAGCTACATGCTTACCATTAAAATATATGTACCTGTTAGGGTTGTTTCGAGAGGTAAATGTCACTTAGCACAGAGTCTGGCATATAATAAATGTTCAGTTAATTATTATAGTTGCTGTCATCATTGTGAATAAATTAAAGATGAGATTTATTTTCTCTAGTTTTATTGTCTTGCTTAATTAACAATCCTAACATTTACCGAGTGCTTTCTATATAGTAGGTACTGTGTTAACAGGAACTTACCTAATTCTCAAAGAACCTTGTGAAGATGTAAGATCTCTGCTTTATGGCTTGGGAAATGGAGGCACAAAGAGATGAACTAACTGGTGAAGTAGCCAGCAAAGGCAGGATCTTAACCCAGATCTCTAGCCCTCAGGACTCATGCTGCACGAAATATTTAAACTTGTGCAGAAATGTATTATCTCTCCCCCCCCCCCCCCTAGGTTATTCAGACATTAATACCTTCTTTTGAAAATTTTCACTTGAATATTGTAAAGCTGAGACAATCAGCGATAGATTTGAGAGCGAGAACATGCATGTTCTGTCCACTCATAGTTGGAAAGAGCATGTTCTCTGCCTTTGTTGAACATATGATTGCAGGATTGAGGGGACCTGATTGTAGATGTGTGTCTAGTACGTAGTTATTTGCCTTCCTGAGTTTACTTGTGCATCATGGATTATGTAAGGAGTTAAGCCATTGTGCTCATTAAGGTCTCCTCTAGATGTAAAAGTCCAATAGTCCCTGATAGGACCCACAACTGCCATCCTAAGCCCACGGTGCCTCTCCAATTCCTCTGAGACCCAGGCATGCTAGCTGCTTCTCCCTGGATGTAGGCTCTGCACTGGTTTCCCAGAAGCAGTGACCTTCCAGTAGAAAATGAGAAAGCCCACTCAACTCTGTCACTTTTATGCACTCTGTCAGGTTGTTCCTGTTGAAAAGGAAAAAAATAAATTGAAACGGAAAAAATTGGAAAATAAACACAAGAAGGACGAGGAGAAAAACAAAATCCGAGAAGAGTGGAACAATTTTTCGTACTTCCCCGAAATCACTCACATTGTAATAAAGGAGTCTGTGGTCAGCATTAATAAGCAGGACAACAAAAAGATGGTAAGTTTGCACCGAAGCTCCTCAGTCTGGGTCTGGTGGCGAGAGGGCGTCTTTGTTGAGGACAGTGGTGCAGCACATACTTTTCAGAGTTCTTGTCCCAAAGAGAAAACCTTATAACTGTCTTACTAAGTCCAAAACGTCCCTAATGCTGACACTGATATTATGTCAGTTGTTGTTACACCTGTACATTCCAGTGCCTTTGTTTGGTCTTGCAAATGCATATCTGTTTCAGCATTCACTGCCCTCCCAAAGATACTCCAGCAGCAGTATTTATTTCACAAAATTAGTGGATTAAAAGAGAAAGATAGTGGAAGTCAGAGCTTCCCCCTCCCCCATCCCAGGGCTCCTGCTCGGCCTCTGCAGAGTTGGAGGGCTGGTGGGAAGCCCCACTTTGCACTTTGGCAGATGTCGGGCTGGTGGCTGTGGTCTCCATGGCCGTCATCGTAGTGGCAGGCACACCCAGTGACTGTCGGACAGAGGAAGCGGTGCTCAGTCTCACTTCCTCTCTTCTGGTATCACTTAAGGACATGCTCTAGACAGGCAGGCCAGTTTGGCAAGGGAAGTGGGAACCCTACCAAAATATACATGTTTGTGTCAGGGAAGTCACCGCTGACAACATGTGGAGAAAACGCGCTGATGAGGCAGGGTGGGCTCACAAATGAAGGTAGTCAACACTGGGGAAATAATATGTTTTGCCTAAAATTTAGCCAATACTCAGTGCTGGGAAGGAAACTGGTGATATAGTTTAGGACAGACTTTTACATATAGAGCAACTTTACTTTTATTTATTTTAATCCTCACCTGAGGATATATTTTTATTGATTTTTTTATTTTCATTTTTTGAGAGAAAAAGAAACAGTGATGAGAGAGAAAAACATCAATCAGTTGCCTCCCATATGATCCACAACCAGGGATAGAACCCTCAACCTCGGTATGTACCTTGACCAGGAACCTGACCGAAAACATTTTGCTGTATGGGATGACTTTCCAACTGACTGAGCCACCCAGCCAGGGGCATAACTTATCTTTTTGATATACCTTTTGGAAAGCAGTTGGCTATATGTATCGAAACTCTTGAAAATATTGATGCCCTGGCTGGTGTTGCTCAATTGTTAGAACTTCAGCCCACAGACTCAAGGGACATGGGTTTAATTCCTGATCAAGGGCATGTATCTGGATGGCAGGTTTGATCCCGAGTTCTGGTCATGGTGTGTGTGTGTGTGTGTGTGTGTGTGTGTGTGTGTCTCTTTCCCCCCCCCCCCCCTCCCTTTCTCTCTGTCTCTCTCTCTTCCCCCTACCCCTGTCACTTTCCCCCCTTTCCCCTTCCCTCTCACTTTCTTTCCTCCCTATCCCTCCCTCCCTTCCATCCATACTAAAAATCAGTGGAAAAAAGTTCCTCAGGGGAGGATTAACCAAAAACACACACATATTGATATGTCCCTCCATTCAGGTGCCTAGGGATCTGTCTGCAGAAACAGTGAAAAGCAGGCATTAATATGTGAGTGAGAATGTTTATCCCAAGAGCAGTTACAGTATCAAAATACTGAAAATAATCTAAATATATAATCATAAAAGAATGAGAAAATAAATTATAATTTGCTTAAGTAGTAGGATCTACCTAATAAAAGAGGAACATGCTAATTGTACCTTCGTGACACCCACCAGTCAATCAGGAGTGAGTATGCAAATTACACCAACAAAGATGGCGGCCTAATTTGCATATACAGGCACCAAGCAGCTGGGGACATTCTGCACCACCCCAGCTGCTCTGGGCCTCTGGGCAGCGTGGGAAGGCAGAAAGGTGGTTCTGGCCAGAGCAAAGGCACTGCCGGCAGCCAGGGGAAGGTAGGCCTATTCTTACATGAATCTTTGTGCATCAGGCTTCTAGTATTATATAATTTGCTGATTTTTTTTTAATACTTTGGAAAAATAACTTTCTAAATGGAAAAGAGTAGAATATAAAACAATCAATAGAATGGTACCAGTTTTGTTCAAAAAATGTTGAAAAGGTATGTATATACCTATACGTGATCTTAGAAAAATAACCAAATATTAAGTCATTATTTATAGTGGGATTCTGAGTGACTTTAATTTTCTTATTCCCATCCCCCCTTTTTAAAAAAAATATATTTTATTGATTTTTTACAGAGAGGAGGAGAGAGGGATAGAGAACTAGAAACATCAATGAGAGAGAAAAATCGACCAGCTGCCTCTTGCACAATCCCTCCGGGGATGTGCCCGCAACCAATGTACATGCCCTTGACCAGAATTGAACCTGGGACCTTTCAGTCCGCAGACTGACGCTCTACCACTGAGCCAGACTGGTTTTGGCTCCCACCCTTTTTAAAGCAATATACATAAATTAATTTCATCAGGAAGCCTTGGTAAAAAACGAAGTGCAGTAGAAGTGTCCAGATAGATGTTAGTGGGAAGAGGGAAAATGTAAGGAGAGAATAAAAGTAAGTGTTATTTATCCAGCATATGATAGCTATTAGTCTGTGTTGTATGCTGTGTCTCCATTGGTGTAGTCCTCACAAGAACCTTAGATGCAGGAATTTTGGCTCCATCTCCAGCAGGAGTCAGACCTGTGGAGAGGTGTGGAAACGTGTGCAGAGCCCACGGTGAGAGAGTGGCAGCTCCGCCTGGGCTGCTTGGTTTCCAAGGCGTTCTCTTGCCCAGAGACTACTGTGAGGGGGAGGTGGGCACATCGGCGGTCTGCCTCTTCAGCGCGGCCAGACCCTGCTGGAGCATGGCTGAGGAGCAGCAGCCAGTTGCTACGGTTTTCGTGAGCCTGCCCTGCCCTGTCCTGGCTGATGGTCAAGCCTGGCACCCAGTGGCACACCTGTCATTTAAGTTAGAGCTTTCTCTGACCGTGTGGGCCAGAGACTGTGCCACGCTAGTGCTGTGTAGGGAGCAGGAGGAAGAGAGGAAAAAATAAATACTTGATCTTCCCATTACTTGATTTTCTTGTACAAACATTAGCTCTTACTGCATGCCAGATAACCTCCAATTCTAAACACTTTACCAATGTCAACTCTTTCAGTTTTCATATTGACCCTGTAAGGTGGGTATATTATTATCCCTGGTTTGCAGAGGAGAAAACTGGGGCACAAGAAGGTTAAGTAGCTTACCATAGTCACATAGCTACTAGACTAAACCATTTGAAATTGCCCATATTTGACAGTTTTTGGCCTACAAAAGTGATGGTTGCACGTGCTTAGACATAATAGCAAGTGGAGATAATGTGATTTGAATCCAGGTGAACTTGCTGGGGGTCTGCAGGTGGGTGCCAGGTCATCCCTGAGAGGAAGCACATTGAGCACAGTCTCCTGTCTGAGTTCATCCCTATGGTGGATTCTCTTGGCCTCCCTGGCTCACAACCCAGAGCGCTCCTCCCTGGATTACAGCTCACTGTGACTAGGCCCTTTCCTCCATCCTGTTTCATTGCTTTTATCCACCACCTTCCCCTTCACTAGTCTTTTTTTCTCTTGTCACCGGCCTCTCCTTCAGTTCTGTGAAAAGTGATCTGTGCATGAGATCAGCCATCTATGCTCTGCTTCCTTTTTTGTAAAACAAGTGTAATGCCTGCCGAGGCAGATATTGCTTAATGCCAAGACCAAGCTACCATTACACTCACTTTGCTTTCCCGTCTCCATTCTCATGCCTCTGCCCCCTTGATTCTGGCTTGCTTTCCATCTGTACCAGGTGGCAGCTTCTTCACAGGCCTGCCTTCCACAGCTTCCCCCCTTCCTCCCCCCCCCCCCCTTCCTCCTCCTCCTTCTTTTCCCTCTCTCTCTCTCTCTCTCTCTCTCTCTCTCTCTCTCTCTCTCTCTGACACACACACCACACACACACACACACACACACATACACTGTACCTCATCTGATAGTTTTTAGATAATAGCTGAGAAAGTGGCAAATAGTCCTATATAAATGTAAGTTATCAACAAAAGGAGTTTCCTTTTGGGTCATGCATTCTCCATTGTGTTTTCAGCATCTTCTCCCTGTGTACCTCCTGATAGAGCAAGGTGCTTAAGGTGGCAGGCAGATGGTATGACACGGGCATTTCTTCTTTCTCCACAGGAACTGAAGCTCTCTTCCCACGAGGAGGCCTTGTCCTTCGTGTCCCTGGTCGATGGCTACTTTCGGCTCACAGCAGACGCCCATCACTACCTCTGCACTGACGTGGCTCCTCCATTGATTGTCCACAACATACAGAACGGCTGTCACGGCCCAATCTGGTTGGTTCTCTCACCTTTACAGTTGTCTCTGGTGTGAAAGAAACCCACATTTTAGTGATAGGGGGAGTGTGGCCTCCTCAGACACAGGTGTCATTAGCTCCCTAGGTTGGGGCCAGTTGAGTATATTGTTTAGGGCTCCTTGTCCATCTCTATTGTCCGTTGGTCAGACTTTCCTGTCCTCTGTCATCTTGGTCCTTGCAGCAGGTGCTCAGCTCTATCCCTTAGTGGGGTCTCCTCATAGTTTAACCCCTCACTTCTTCCCAGCTGGCCAAGAAGTCTACACTTCCTAATCCCTTGCAGGGCCAAACAGTGCGGATGATGTAAGAAAGTACAATAGGAACAGGTTTTAACATCAGAAGAGTAGTAAGTAAAGGGATCCCGAGTCAGCTTGCTGTAAAGTGTGCGATAAACGATAGTCGGGGTGACCACACCTTAGTGCTGGAAGGGGCCTTGCTGGACTCTCGTCCCTCCTGCACCTCAGAAATAGTAGCCTGTGTCCAGATAGCTGTGGTGATGGGGCACTTAGTACTACAGAGCAGTCAGTAGATTCCAGCTCTATCAAATACAGACATGCATGCCTCTCTGGTCTGGAACTGAATTTGCCTCTGTCACTAACTTCTGCTGCTCATTGGAGTTCTGCCATTGGAAGCAACAGGGATTCAGTTTACTTCCTCTCACACATGACTGCCCTTCAGGCACAGGAAATCAGCTGCTGTGTCTCTTCTCAGTCTCTCTTTCCAGACAGAAATCTATCTGGGGAAGCGTCTCTTTAGCTGCCTTCTGTGTGACATGGTTCCCACCTTCTTCCGCATCCTAGTTACCTGTGGACAGGTAGTTTGTTAGGGGGTGAACCCCGGCCTAGAGGGGCTCTCAGGGAAACAGACACACAAGGGGCTGAGCACTGTAGTGAAGCACGTCCTTCAAATATCCAACCAGTTAGACTTCAGGGCCTGGCACTTGCTTTTCCCTTGGCCTGGAATGCCCTTCCTCCTGAATCTACATAGCACCACTTCCTTCAGGTGCTCCTCCAATGCCAGCTTATCGGTGGAGTCTTCCCTGATCACCTGCTATGATACAACAGCCCCTCTTCCTCCTCCACACCTCCACACCCCACACTTCCTGGCTCCTGCACTCTGCTTTATTTTTCTTCGGAGGCATTGCCTCTTGACACACCATCTTTATTTCCGTGTCCCTTCGTTTCCTGCCGCCCACTTTCACCATCCCAAGTATGAGCTCCACACACAGGCAGGGCACTGTGTGCTTTGCTCACTGCTTTTCCTCAGTCCCCATAGCAGCGCCTGGCACATCGTAGGCATTTAGTAAGTGTTTATGGACTGAATGAATGCTCGATGTTCTGGGGGGCAGGGGACCTGAAACTCATTGCCTAAAAGGCCTTCTCAGAGTAGGCAGCATTCCAGTTGGATTAAAACCTGAAGAATTAACAATGGTTTGCCAGGTCTAAAGAGGAGCAAGGGCCTCTCATGTGAGGAACAACGTGTGGAGGTGTCACAGACCAGGAGCAGTTGGTCTCTGCCTTTCTCACATGTGCTGACCACATCAGCCCTCTTTTATCAGTACTTAGCAAGTACCATGCACTAGGTATTACAACCTCATATGTGTATTTATTTAGCAGTTATTCACTGCCCTTTGTGTGCCGGGGCTGATCAGACCTGGGAATACAAAGGAGTTCAAGACAGGCATGCTCTTCCTAAAATTTTTCTAATCTTCACTGATTTCTTTATTCCATTATTCACTCATTTATTGAGCAGCTACTATGAGCCCATGGGTGCTCTAGTCATTGGGGGTACAGCAATGAACAGAATAACCCCACAATTGCGCTTTCCTGAGGCTCCTATTCTAGTGTGCCACTTGGGAACAGTGGGAAGGACCCCCGACCACTGCAGCAGGGGCAGCTCCCATCGCCAGCTTGGGGGCATTCTTCAGGCCGGGGCTGGAGGCAGCATACATGGGGCAATGGGGAGAACATGCTCAGGGCCCTGGGCAGCATGCCGAGTCCTCCTCTGGACCTCGTTGCTCAGATGATGTCTCAGGGCTCCTAAGCCTCTCTGCTTGCCTCACGTGTCATACCTGAGTGGACTTGAGGACAGGTGACGTGATGAAGCTGTAAGACTTGAGGCAGCACAGAGAAGTGGATGTCCCATAGGGGTTCAGAGTGCTCCTGTTGGTGAGCTCTTTCTCCCTTTGTCTCCCCGCCTCCAGCACAGAGTATGCCATCAATAAACTGCGGCAAGAAGGAAGCGAGGAGGGCATGTATGTGCTGCGGTGGAGCTGCACGGACTTTGACAACATCCTCATGACCGTCACCTGCTTTGAAAGGCCTGAGGTCAGTCGAGACACTGGCTTGGGTCAAGCCATAGGGCCACAGGGGATACAACGTGGTCCAGAAGCTGCTGTGGAGAGGACTGCTCATGGGGTGGAGGGGAGGGAATAAGGGGGGTAGGAAAGTCTAGGTCTCCCGAGAAAATCCCTGGCAGTTCTCCAAAAGGAGGCTGCTCCCCAGCAGCTAGACCCCATGGCCTCTTCTCTCTTCCTTCAAGGGCCCCCGGCAGGGTCCACTGTGGCTCTGGAAAGGAATGTGACCAGAAAACCAGTTCGCACCAACACTCGCCTCGTTTAGTGTAATTACTTAGAGTGGTTTATTGTATACTCTGTGCCCAGGTCCGCGAAGGCCCAGAGCTGTGTGCGTTCGTGGCATTCACTGGTACGGTCAGTGCCAAGAAGGCACCTGGGCACTTGGCCTGCCACTGTTCCTGCAGATGGTAGCTGCAGACATTTGAACAGACAGGCTCTTAGCCTGTTTTGACAAGTGGAGATTTGTTGACTTGAAAACGCAGAATTGTTGACTTGATCCCAGTAGACCACAGATGTCTTTGTTATTCATGTAATTGTTTTAAAAGATAATGCGTTTTACACATGGAGACTAAACAGCACGCTATTAAACAAGGACTGGGTTACCAGAGAAATCAAGGAAGAAATTAAAAACATCCTGGAAACAAATGACAATGAAAACACAACAATCCAAAATCTATGGGACACAGCAAAAGCAGTCTTAAGAGGGAAGTTCATATCCTTACAAGCCTATTGCAAAAAACTAGAAAAAAGGGTAACAGATGATCTAACTCTACAACTCAAAGAGTTAGAAAAGGAGCAACAAGAAAAGCCCAGTGTAAGCAGAAGGAAGGAAATAACAAAAATCAGAGCACAGATAAACGACATAGAGACCAAAAAAACAATACATAAGATCAACAAAACCAAGAGCTGGTTCTTTGAAAGAATAAACAAGATAGATGAACCTCTAGCCAGGCTAACTAAGAAACAAAGAGAGAGGACCCAAATAAACAAAATCAGAAATGAAAGAGGTGAAATAACAACAGACCCCAACGAAATACAACGGATTGTTACAAAATACTACGAACAACTCTATTCCAACAAACTGAACAACCTGGAGGAAATGGACATATTCCTAGAAAAATACAAACTTCCAAAACTCGATCAGGAAGAATCTAAAAATCTCAATAGACCAGTGACTTGGGAAGAAATTGAAACAGTCATCAGAAAGCTTCCAGCAAACAAAAGCCCAGGGCCAGATGGCTTCACAGGAGAGTTTTACCAAATATTCAAGGAAGAACTAAAACCTATCCTCCTCAGACTTTTCCAAAAAATTCAAGAGGAAGGAACACTTCCAAACTCCTTCTATGAAGCCAGCATCACCCTAATACCAAAACCAGATAAAGACAACTCAATGAAAGAGAATTACAGGCCAATATCCCTCATGAACATAGATGCCAAAATCCTCAACAAAATCCTAGCAAATCGGCTCCAGCAGAGCATCACAAAGATCATACACCATGACCAAGTAGGATTTATTCCAGGAATGCAAGGATGGTACAATATCCGCAAATCAATAAATGTGAAACATCACATAAACAAATTGAAAGATAAAAATCATATAGTCATATCAATTGATGCAGAAAAAGCATTCGATAAAATCCAACACCCTTTCCTGATAAAAACTCTTAACAAGGTGGGAGTACAAGGATCATACCTCAACATAATAAAAGCTATATATGATAAACCCACAGCCAACATTATACTCAATGGGCAAAAACTAAAACCATTCCCTCTAAGAACAGGAACAAGACAGGGATGCCCACTTTCGCCACTCCTGTTTGACATAGTACTGGAAGTACTAGCCATTGCAATTAGACAAGAGGAGGAAATAAAAGGCATCCAAATTGGAAAAGAAGAAGTAAAGTTATCCTTATTTGCAGATGACATGATATTGTACATAAAGAACCCAAAAGACTCCATTAAGAAACTAATTGACTTAATAAATGAATTTGGCAATGTAGCAGGATACAAAATTAACGCCAAGAAATCCATGGCATTTCTATACACCAACAGTGAAACTACAGAAACAGAGACTAAAAAAGCAATTCCATTTACCATCGCACCAAAAAAATTAAGATACCTAGGAATAAATTTAACTAAGGAAGTAAAGGATCTATATGCAGAAAATTACACGACATTGAAAAAAGAGATAGAGGATGATGTAAGGAGATGGAAGAACATACCATGTTCATGGATTGGTAGAATCAACATCATCAAAATGTCCATACTTCCTAAAGCAATCTATAGGTTCAATGCACTCCCCATTAAAATACCAAGGGCATATTTCACTGACCTAGAAAGAACTCTCCAACAGTTCATTTGGAACAATAAAAGACCCCGAATAGCCACAGCAATCCTGAGAAAGAAGGGTAAAGTAGGAGGGATCTCAATACCGGACTTCAAACTGTATTACAAAGCCACTGTTCTCAAAACAGCCTGGTACTGGCACAAGAACAGACATATAGATCAATGGAATAGAATCGAGAACCCAGATATCAACCCAAATCAATATGCTCAATTAATATTTGACAAAGGAGGCACGAATATACAATGGAGTCAAGACAGTTTCTTCAATAAATGGTGTTGGGAAAATTGGGTAGACACATGCAAAAGAATGAAACTAGATCACCAACTTACACCATACACAAAAATAAACTCAAAATGGATACAGGACTTAAACATCAGACGGGAAACCATAAAAATACTAGAAGCATCCTCAGGCAGCAAAATCGCAGACGTATGCCAAAAGAACTTCTTCACTGATACTGCCCCTAGGGCAATGGAAGCTAAAGAGAAAATAAACAAATGGGACTACATCAAAATAATAAGCTTTTTTACAGCAAAAGAAACCATCAACAAAACAACAAGAAAGCCCACTGTGTGGGAGAACATATTTGCAAATAACACCACTGATAAAGGTTTAATCTCTAACATCTACAGACAGCTGATACAACTAAATAAAAGGAAGATGAATGATCCAATTAAGAAATGGGCAAGGGACCTAAATAGAATATTTTCAAAAGAAGACAGAAGGAAGGCCAAAAGGCACATGAAAACATGCTCAAAGTCACTAATTATACGAGAGATGCAAATCAAAACAACAATGCGGTACCATCTCACACCTGTCAGAATGGCCAACATCAACAAATCGACAAACGACAAGTGTTGGCGAGGTTGCGGAGAAAAAGGAACCCTCGTGCACTGCTGGTGGGAATGCAGACTGGTGCAACCACTGTGGAGAACAGTGTGGAGTTTCCTCAAAAAACTGAAAATGGAACTCCCATTTGATCCAGTAATCCCACTCCTAGGAATATATCCCAAGAAACTAGAAACACCAATCAGAAAGGATATATGCACCCCTATGTTCATAGCAGCACAATCTACAATAGCCAGAATTTGGAAACAGCCTAGGTGCCCGTCAGCAGATGATTGGATCCAAAAACTATGGTACATCTACACAATGGAATACTATGCTGCCATAAAGAAGAAGGAATTCTCATCATTTGCAGCAACCTGGATGGAATTGGAGAACATCATGCTGAGTGAAATAAGCCAATCAATGAAAGAGAAACACCACATGACCTCACTCATTTGTGGATAATAAAGAGCATTATAAACTGATGAACCAAAAGATAGATATAGAGACAGTAAAGCAACAAGCAGATTGTCAAATTACAGCGGGGAGGGGAGGAGGATCTGGGGGAGATAACAGATCAACCGAAGGACTTGTATACATGCATATAAGTACAACCAATGGACATAAAACTATGGGGAGGGAGGGGATATGGGGGAGGGAGGGAGGGGGCAAAAAAAAATCATTAAAATATGTAAAAATAAATAAATAAATAAATTAAAAAAAAATAAAAAAAAAATAAAAGATAATGCGTTTTACAGAATTAGTCCAAGTAAATACGGGAGTGTTGAGTGGGTTTAATATGAACTAGGAGAACGGGTGGGGCGGGGCCTGTGAGACAGAAGGCAGCACGTCAGCCTATTGAAGACCTCAGACACAGAGAGGAAAAGTACCGAGGACCCTGGGGACTGGACTCAGGCATGGGAGCAGGAGCTGGCAGCAGGTACCTTGTGCTGCGGTGTCCTGGCCTTGTCTCTGGGGCCCAGTGCTAGTCGGGGGAGTTTCTGCACAGCAAGGCCTCATGCTGATCTGAGTCAGGTGCAGGGGCTGAGAACTTGTCAGGCTTGTTGTCTTGGCAGGAGGCCTGTCTGGCCTGTCTTCTGTAGTCATTAGTCTTTGGAGGAAGTTCAATATTTTAATCTGGATGGGTGCATGAGACTGCTCAACCTCCTCCTAAAGTAGCATCAGCCTGTACCAAGAATGTCAGTGATTCAGTGACATGGCACACGTCATGCCACCTTACCTGGGGGAAACAGGGTCACAGATACGAGGACTCTTTGTTTTAGCTCACTGGGCACTGTGCTGAGCACTTCACCCAGGTGTTCGCATGTAAGCCTCACCCAGCTCTGCGAGGTGGGTGGTATTAATCCCATCATAGAGGTTGAGGCATCGAGATGTTAAATATTTTGTCCTAATTCACAGCATAAGTAGAACTTCCTGTCTTTCATTCTTAACCACTAAAATAGTTTCCTTTGAGCCACAAGTGCCCATGAAGGAAGGCTTGTGCTTCTACTTCCTCTCCGGGACCCGTGGGACCCTGAGACTGGACCAGAAAGCTGACTGCCTCTCCTGGCACGGTTCTCCTCAGACAGACATGGAGCCTGGGAGGCCCCATTGGAGGGAGTTCCTGGATACATTTGATATAGCAGTTATTATCTCACGCACGATTATGTTGGTTAACCTTCATGAAGGGCTTATCTGTATGCGCCATGTCATGTGATCACAGATTGTTCTGAAAGCTCTGAGGTTGGCCTTCCCACGCATGTCATCCTGCAGGTGGAAGGAGGGCCCGGCTGCTGTCGCAGGATCGCTGCTGTCACCCTGCCTACCGAGTGTCAGCTGCCCTCTCAGTGCCTTCTCTTCGACCCCCTTTTACCACTTACACATGTATTGCTTTGCTTCCTTGGTTATAATAAACTTTAATTTTAAATAATTCGAGATACAGAAGTGTGACAGAGATAACACCGAGCTGCTCCGTCCCCGTGGTACATATGGCCAACTCCTTTAAAACACTGTTTCTGCTCATTTTCCTGGATGGCAGGTGTCGGGTGGCCAGAAGCAGTTCAAGAACTTTCAGATCGAGGTGCAGAAGGGTCGCTACAGCCTGCACGGCTCGGACCGCGGCTTCCCCAGCCTGGGGGAGCTCATGAACCACCTCAAGAAGCAGATCCTGCGCACGGACAACATCAGCTTCGTGCTGAAGCGCTGCTGCCAGCCCAAGCCCCGAGGTCAGTCCCCGCGCCCAGTCCCCGCGCCCCCAGTGCCGCCCTGCCCTTCACTGATCTCCCAGACCCAGGCCCACCCGCAGGCTGCTCCCCGCAGTTTCTAAGTGTTTTCCTTTGCGTTCTCTTACATGTCGGTCCCCAGCTCAAATCACGTTCCTCAAGGGGAGCATTTTCTATAGAAAAAACACACACCTTTTCTCCACATCCCTAAGCTGCAGAAAGAGGCCTCTTAAGATTCATGAGCAGAAACTTCTTTCTTCATTGAGATAAAATGTCTTGAGATGCCCTTAGAAATGACCTCGACACATCTTCTGTGGGCCAAGAATTGTTAGATGCAAGGACTCAGAAATTTCTCACACCCCGTCCCTCCACGCCAAGGGTTTCCTGTCTAATACAGAAAGCATTACAAGGAAACTAGGCCACTGCAGGACAGAGCATGTGCTTTAATTAACGCACATGTGTGTCAGTCCCTGGGCTTGCAAAGAAGCGATGGTCAAAGTCCTCAAGTTACAGGAAGTGGGAGGCTGCTTGGAGGAAGTGGATCTTGAGCTGAGTGCTGGCTGAGGAGCGGGAGCTTGCCCGTTGAGGAAGGGCTTCTCCAGCAGAGCGTGTGCTGGGCGGAGCAGCAGGCAAAGCCCCCAGGGGTGCGGAGGTGGCTGGAGGCCAGTGCGCCTGGTGGAGTTATGAGGGAGTGGAGACGGGAGGGAGATACTTAGGATTGTGGATGGCCTCGAATGCCACACAAGGAGCTGGGGCTTTATCCCCTCAGAAGTGGGAGCCATGGGAAGATCAAGGAGCAAGATGGACAGGAGAGGAGAGGGGCTTGACTGCTCTTTTGTAGGCTGTGGGAAGCTGTCATGATACACTGCAGGTGGATTCATCCCCTTTTCTAATGTGAGAACTGGACGGACACTTAGGGGTCCCACGCCAAGTGCCCCATTGTATGTATGAGAAACAGACTTGGAGAAGTGTTGAAAGGTCAAGGTCAAGGAGGGGTTTGAATGGCAGGTCTACCTGGATGCCAGATCCCTTGACTATTGCTTTTTTGTTTCGTTTTGTTTTGTTTCGCACCCTGTGTCAGAGCTTTCCCTTCATGGGGGTCTTGCCTCAAAGAAAGGGAAGCACAGTTGTTTCTAGGGCCACAGGAAGAATGATGGAGGTGCCCTGAGGCGTCTGGTAGGCAAGGGCAGCAAAGCAGCACCTGACGGAGGGCCTGGGTTCTTGGTGTGAATTGCTTCTTGGTCTCCCAGCAAGGCACTGTCACTGACTTTGGTGAGAGAGGAAGGACTTGTGTTCTGATTGGTCAGGTGGGTTTCCTGCCGGCCACATGGAATAACGGAGCCTTTGTTTTTGTGCTCAAAACAAAGGTAAAAACTCACCTGTCACTTGGCCCTGAGACCTCAGAGGGGGTTAAAACCTTAAAGTCCAACCACCCTCTTTCCTCACATAGTCTGTTCTTTCAGACACTAGAAGCGGTTTTTATTTCCCCCGAGTTATGGTCTCTGGGTGAGGTTGAGGACGTGGAGAAGAGCAGCCCCAGGAAGAGACAGGTGGTGGCAGAGGGAGACTGCGACATGGCTCTTTGCAGCCACCATCTGGGGAAGCCTCTGCTGTAGACACCACGCCCAGGCGGGAGCAGCAGCTGTGCAGGGAGAAGCACAGGAAGGGAACGGACCCTGCTGTCCTGGCTTTCTGTTGAGTCTCCAGAATCACTACGTTGAATATGTCTGGTGTCTGTCTCTCCCATTTGGTGAGGACATAAATCAGGATCCAGGTCTCACTCACCACTCTGACTTCTGGAAGCTCAGCACCCAGCATAGGATCGTCATTCACTAACGCCTGTCAAGTGGTCATTACAGCCCTGCTGGTGTGGCTCAGTGACTGAGCATCGACCGTGCACCAAGAGATCTCTGGTTCCATTCCCGGTCCTGGGGCATGCAGGAGGCAGTTGATCGATAGATAGATCGATGTTTCTATCTCTCTCTCCCTCTCTCTTCTCCTCTCCCTAAAGTAAATAAAAACACTTTTTTTTTTTTAAGTGATAATTACAGCAGTAGCTACCTTATTGGTGGGTACTTAATAGTCCCAAGCAGTATAATTGCATATTTGCATTTCTTCCATCTACATCGTAGTTCTTTGTAGATTTTATAAAGAGGAGGAAATTGAGGCTCAGAGATATTCAGTGCCTTGCTGAAGGCCACACAGCCAGTAGTATCAGTAATACTTATAACAGTAATAGCAGTGATGTTGGTTACAGCTGCCATCATGTAAGCAGTGCTTGCAGTTTGACAGGCAATGTTTGAAGGCCTTTCATGTTTTAAGTCATTTAATTTTCAGAACAACTCAGAATGTTGTTATCCTGATGATACTTGTCTAAGATCACTTTGGTGGTTAGAGGAAGAGCTTTGAAGTCATGCTTTTAACTCCAAATTCAGTGATATTTCCCCTGTTATACTATCTTTGCAAAGCTGCAGGTGCAGCCATCAGCCCAAGACTCTGGGGCAAGGGGCAATTCTGACTTGGGTAGTGGGGAGGAGATTGCTGGGGAGGAGAAGGAGGGACTAGAGTTGGGGAAGAGAAAGAGTAAGCCTTGTGAGTGAGGCTTCCTCTTGCAGGCCCTCAGAGCCCCCTGTCTTCCTCTGCCCCCTCCAAATCAGAGAAGTGATAAAATCATGAACATTAAAGAGAATGCCATTTTGAGCCTCAGTGTCTCTGCCCTTCTGACCGCAAAGCTCAGATGGCCAGACCCCCATTTGGGTTTCTCACTTGAAAACACATTGGAGAAAACTCCCCGTGGGATAAATAAAAAGCAGGCAGCCATTCAGAGTGGCCTGTATGTTGTGCAACCCCACTGGCCCTCTCCACGTCTGAGGGTGACCTTGTTAGGAGGAGATGGGGGCCCACCCGTCACCACTGATCCTCACCCTCATCTGTGGGGTCCAGCGTGCTGCTGATTTCTGCACCCATCAGCTCTGACACAGAGGACTCCTGTTGCCAGTGCCTGTGAACCGCTGGTGCCACCAGGACGATGTGGCTAACATGCAAAACTGCTCAGTCACATTGGCTACCCGTGATGAGCATTCCCTCCCTGTCAGGTCAGGCTCTGAAGTAAGCCCTACATGTGCAGTGTCTCACTCCTCTCAGCAGGGGGCATAGCCTTCTGCTTTCTAATGAGAACAGAGCTTCGTGGAGGTTAAGTGGCTTCCCCTGCTCACACGCTGGCCCAAGTGCCATGTTCCTGGAAGCAGCCGCACAAGCCATCAGCCCCCAAATGGCCCGTCCCCATCCTTCTCTAATTTCCCTGGCAGTGCGGCCGCCACCCTTCCCTGGGATACCATTCAGCAGGCCCTTCCCGGGTGTCTTGTCCGTCATAGCGTCCTGAGTTTACCCAGGTACCCGGGTGGAACAAAAGAATAGAATGGAGGAGAGTAGACTCGGAATGATAGCAAGGGACCTAAATCTGAACCCAGTTTCTGGCACGCGGATTTGTACACCCCACTGGGGCCGGGGGTGCTCTTGGAAGAAGGTGAGAGCCTGGAGCCAGGCACAACTTCAGGGTGATTCCCAGGTCTAGGGATTACTGGCCCTTGATGTTGGGCAAATAGTTTAATCGTTTAGAACCTCTTTTTTCTGACCTATGGAAGTGGCGGGTAAAGATACTATGTATCGCATAGGATTGTGATGGGGACCAGTGAGTTAGTAACGGTAAAGCTCTTAGGACCGTGGCTGACATGGGGAAAGCAGTTAGTGTCACTTGGCCCGTTACTCAGCAGCCAGTGGATGAAAACGTAAAGATCTTGAGAGGCGCCGAAACCGGTTTGGCTCAGTGGATAGAGCATCGGTCTGCGGACTGAAAGGTCCCAAGTTCGATTCCGGTCAAGGGCATGTACATTGGTTGCGGGCATATCCCCAGTGGGGGGTGTGCAGGAGGCAGCTGGTCGATGATTCTCTCTCATCGACATTTCTAACTCTCTATCCCTCTCCCTTCCTCTCTGTAAAAAAAAAAAAAAATCAATAAAATATATTAAAAAAAAAAAGATCTTGAGAGGTTCCAGAGCACTCTCATGTGAGACGGGTGGAAGGAGATCTCTTCCCCCACCTGTAGCTTCCCGTGGCTTGGTTGTGGGAAGGTGACTTCCACGGATCATACATTCCTCATCAGTCACCTGTGCCGATCCTGGCTGGCCAGTTTGATAATGTGTTCGGTTTGCTGTTTGAATCCGTAGGGTTTTGGCGGTGGTCTGTTCATAATCGGCACAGTCAGCAGGTACTTAGTAAGTGCCACCTGGTGTCCGGCAGTGGAGGAGTCCAGGCACAACCCTCTGCCTGGGTGACCTGTCCTGTTCTGCACGAAACCCGTGTTCACCTTCCTGCCTTCCCCCTCCCTCCTCAGGCCCGGCTTACGGCTCCTACTCCTTTCTCAGCTCTCATCCTTCAGCGCACACCCAATTATTCATTCACACATTTAACAGTTACTTACTGAGTGCCTACTGGGTGCCAGGCTGTGGAGGTAGAGCAGGAGATGCTGGGGGAATCTTCCCGACCTCCTGGAACAGATCCTTCTCTGTCAGCCCACAGCACTCAGGCCTGTCCTCCGAGCAGCTGCACAAGTTGTAGCTTCCTTTTGATTAGTTAAGTATTTGTTTGGGTTTGGCTCTGTGATTAGCCTGTGAGCTCTTAGAGGGCAGAAATGAAGTACTTAATAAGTATCGGGTCTAGTAATAATTAATGTCGTTTTTCAGCATTCGTTTAAAATCTTGCTTGGCGTTGACTTTTATTGACATAACCTTCAAACACATGGTATCTACAGAACGTGTGAAGTGCAATTAACAAGTTTTGCTTGAAAAAGTTTGTGTTTGGTTTGGTTTTTGTTGCAAAACTAGGGCTAAGAAGATGGCGGATGAAGAGCATATTCGGCACTGCATGCTTTACGAGTTCCAATTAGGAAGAAAAGCAAGTGAGGCTGCAAAAAACATCTGTAGTGCTCTTGGTCAAGATGCAGTTAGCGCCAGAAAATGCCAGCATTGGTTTGAGAAATTTCGCGAGGGAAATTTTTCGTTAGATGACAAGAGTGGTCGAGGCCGTGTGTCCAATTTTGATCAAGAAGCTCTTCAAGCTCTTTTGGTGCAAAATCCTCAAATTACCCAACAAGAGCTTGCGACAACTTTAAATTGTTCACAAAAAACAATTTCCAATCAATTGCGTGCACTTGGCAAAGTCCAAAAGTTTGGAAAATGGGTTCCTCATGAGTTGACCGACAACTGTAATCAAAGAGTCACAATTTGCAGTTCGCTCCTCTCTCGTCAAAACCGTTTGCCGTTTTTAGAGCAAATTGTTACTGGAGATGAAGAAGGGTGCTGTATGCTAATTTGAAAAGACGGCCTCAATGGTTGGACAAAAATGAGGCTCCGCAGCCCACACCAAAACCTGACTTGCATGTGAAAAAAGTGATGTTGTGTGTTTGGTGGAATTTTAAAGGAATTCTTCATTATGAACTTTTACCATCTAACCAAACCATTACAAGTGCAGTGTATAGTGCCCAATTGGAAAGGTTAGCCCAAGCTTTAAGAGAAAAAGAACCCGCGCTGATTAATCGGAAGGGCGTAATTCTTCACCACGATAATGCACGACCGCATACTGCAAGAATCACTGCTGAAAAACTGCGCCAGTTGGAATGGGAAGTTCTCCCTCAACCTGCATATTCTCCTGATATTGCCCCTTCCGATTACCATTTGTTTCGTTCTTTGCAAAACTTTCTTCTTGGAAAAAAATTTAATAATGAAGAATGCCTCAAAAATTCATTGACCGAATTTTTTGCATCAAAATCACAAGAATTTTACAACAGAGGGATTAAAATGCTTCCTGAGCATTGGGCACAAGTAGTAGAAAACAACGGCAGCTATATTGTTGATTAAATTTTGTTGTATTGTTTAAATAAATTCGATTTAAAAAAGTATTAGAAAACGACATTAATTATTACTAGACCTAATATTCGTTGAATGACTGAACCAACAAATGCATAAGTATGTGTTCAGGAAGCCCCCTGGCTCGCTGATGGGAATCTCAGGCCTTTGCTACTCTGCTCAGACTTCTCCTCTCTCTCCCACAGAAATCTCCAATCTGCTGGTGGCTACAAAGAAAGCCCAGGAGTGGCAGCACGTCTACCCTATGAGTCAGCTGAGTTTCGATCGGATTCTCAAGAAAGACATCATGCAAGTGAGTCGCCTTGCTCTTGGGATCCGCCTTGGTCCCTCCTTCCTCCAGCAGAGCAGCCAGGGGACTCGGGGGTTGGAGTTAGGGCACATCCTAGAGGAAAAGGAACAAGGAGTCTTTCCGAGTTAAAGCAGTTTAACCAGCACCCTCCCTGCCGTCCTGCTGGCCTTGCTGATGCTCCCCATAGGTGCGTTCTCCGTGAAGGAGGGGATCAGTGGGACTGTTGGGTTGTCTCGGGCCCAGGGATCTTATGCCCCAGGACATGCTTTTGGCGCAGAACTTCTGAGATTTAGTGCGGACTTTTCTGATGATGCTTCCAGAAGGAGCAAAGCTGAGGGAACACAGACACAGTGAAGCTGTAGGAGATGTAAAGTTGAGGCCTGAAGGAGAAGAACGGTCTGGAGAAACAGGTCCCAGAGCCGTGTCCCAGCCTTGGCAGGCCATTAGCCCAGTCTGCAGCCTTAGGCCGGCTGTTTCCCTCAGACCTGCGTGCAGCCTTGGCTTGGGGTGTGAAGCCCAGGGGTATCCCCCTTTCTGTTCTGCACCCCTCTTACACAGAGCCATACGGGAGGGGAGGCTAAAGAGACAGCACCCAGCAGCCTTGCAGAGAAGGATTCTGTAAAGGGCCATTTGTTACCTGGCAGAGGCTGCGACACTTTGGAGGAGTTCGAGAGCACATGATGGGCTCCCTGCCTTTGGGAGGTGGTGGAGGTGGTGGGCATGGAGTTGATTTGCTAAGTTAATTCCTGAAGTTGATGGATAGGGCTTTGAGGGAGCGGAAGCCTACAGACACAGCTGCCTCCGTCACTGTAAGTTGTTTTCTGAAGGCCGGTCCTTATTGTTCTCTGTCCCGCTGGTGGTGCCAGAGCTGTGTCTAGAGATTCAAATCACCAGGGCAGGGTGCCCTGGCCTCATTTCTGCCTAGAACGTGGTGTGTACTCAGGGCCTGCCTTCTTTCCTTCCTGGGGAGCTGCCGGATAACCGCCATCCTCTGGCCTCGAGCATTCATTCAGCCAGCAGGCATGGAGCACTGCCGAGTGCCAGGTGCAGTCGCCACCCTCGGCAGGCTCACCGCTGGGGGAGGAGGCAGACCTCGTCTACCTTAAGTAGATATTTGTTATCAAGAGAGAAAGCCTTAGTACAGCAGGATGTGGGGGGTCTCAGAAACCGTCAACCCACCTAACCTGGGGAGGACAAGGATGGCTTCCCAGGGACGTGGCATCAGAGCAGAGCCCCAGAGGGTGGAGAGCGAGCGCCAGTAGAAGTAAAGGGAGCAGCATGGAGGAGGCTGACATGGACGGGCAGGGCCTCGGACAGCATGGTGCTATGACTTGGCCACTGGAATCAGTAACCCTTCTAGGGAAGAGTAATTATCCTGAAAGCATATGGCTTTTCCGGGATGTTCTGGGAACACACTTCCCATAACCTTGATGAATTGCTTCATGACAGGTGCAGCTCTAATGAGTGCTTGCAGGCCCTTGCCAGGATCCGGGAGACGGGGCAGATGTATCACCATCTGCAGTGACAGATGACAAATGGTGGTGTTTGTGCAAATTAATACACTCGATTAACGATGATGTACATTCCTGTGGGGGATGGGAATCGGCCCACAAGGCAGCTGCCATCCATTTCTGCATTTATAGAGGGTCCCAGAACAATAGAACGTCAGTATATAGGTTTTGTCAGACCAGGGATGACTTACCCTTAACCTTCTTTCTCCCACAGGCCTTCTAATATCAGTGACTCAACCATTCCTACGATTTATGAGTCATGTGCTGATCCCAAATATTAAGAACGTTTAGATCAGAGTTATTCAAGCTTAAACTGGGAGGGTCCTTAGACACAGATCATTGTGTGCTAAGGACTTTGTTTGATGGTCTCCTTTAGTCCTAGTCCTCGGGCCATTCCTTGGGTGGGACCATCCATTCTCACCCATGAGGAAACAGGGCCTGCCTGCAGGTCTGTGCCTCTGTCCACATCACCTTCCCTGTGGGACTGCTAGGGCAAATGCGTGTGTGAATTGCATTACTAATTCTAAAGCGTGCACACGTGCATTGGACACACAGATAGAGAATGAACAATTCCGGTGTGAGAAACATTGAGTGCCTGGTTAGGGCAATCAAAACAAAACACACCAGCCCAATAGGTTGACTTGTACCCATCCTGTGCCAGCATCTGTACCAGGAGCCTTTGTACCTATTTGTGCATCTGACTCTGAGACAGGTGCCATTATTATCCCTGGTTACAGAAAGGGAGCAGACATTGAGCATGGTAAGGGAACGTCCCTGAGTTAAATGGCCAGCAAGCAGTAGAGCCAGGACTAAGAAGCCCCTTAGCAGTGTGCCCTAGCCTGTGAGCAGAGTCCCCAAGGCAGTCCTCTTTCGTCTTCTCTGAAGGCTGAGGCTGAGGCCGAGGCCAAAGGCGGGGCTGATGCCGCGGGCTGTTGCAGCACTGTTGGAAGTTGTGTGCTGGTCAGGGTTATGTTTTGGCCACAGGCTGTTCCTAGAAGTAGAAGGAAGGAAAGGACTGTTTGGGAATAGGAGAGCTGTCTCCTTGGACCCAGGAAGTGCCACAGACTCCAGCAGTCACCCCACCTCCTGTTTCCTCCTCCAGGGCGAGCACCTTGGGAGAGGCACGCGGACACACATCTACTCTGGGACCCTGATGGATTACAAGGACGATGAAGCAACTTCTGAAGAGAAGAAAATAAAAGTGATCCTCAAAGTCTTGGACCCCAGCCACAGGGACATTTCTCTGGCAAGTGTCGTCTTGCTAACCCACCTCCCGTTTCTGGAACCCGTGGAGCACAGTCAACTGAGAAGAACCGTGGCCCTTATTTTGGCCTTGATTATGGTTTTCAAACATGTCTTTTATGTAGTCCCCTTTTTCACATGTGATCTTAGGTGAGGGAGGGAGGATTGCAGAGGAAGTAGATGGAACAGCTCTTCCCGGCGGCCTACCTCTTCCTTGTCCTCCCATTTCTTACCTGAAGGTTCTTGTGGCCCAGGACTCCAGCCGAATGGTCTCCGAGTCCCTTATGTCGCCAGGCTGTCACTCCACAGTGTGGGAAATCAAAGCCCAGGGGAGTGGGAACGTGCCCCGGGTTCCACAGGCTGCAGAGAGATAGAGCCAGTTTGCGCCTTGGCGTCCCTTCTATTCCAACACAGTGCTGCGCATCGTTATTTCCCAGTGTTCAAAGGGAGAGAGAGGGGTAGGCTTGAGTATGCAATGGGGAAATTGGTAGCTAGCCTATCTCACCAGCCTCGCTCCACGTCCTGTTTTGTTTTTCTGAATGAAGACTGAGGTCAAGGGGAAGGCCTGGCACTGCCCCTGGGAAGTCGAGGCCGGGAGCCGTCCTCAGGACCCGGGAGATGAGTCCTGAGTTTTCTGGGATGTACCAGCTTTGTGTCTCAGCAGAGCCCCTTTGGGGTCAGACCAGGGAGGCTTACCCTTGACCTTCCTTCTCCCACAGGCCTTCTTCGAGGCAGCCAGCATGATGAGACAGGTCTCCCACAAACACATCGTGTACCTCTACGGTGTCTGTGTCCGTGACGTGGAGAGTGAGTGAATTCTCTCTGGGAGAGGCGGGTGGCCCTGGCTTGGGGGCAAGGGTGCTGTGAAGACACTGGGGGTAGGGGAGCTGATACCCTCTTCTTGTCCTGGCTTCTTCCCTTCCGTTCTGCAATCGAGGGATTTGAGGTAACGAGCAGGTCACGTGTTTACTTGTTTTTCACTCATTTCTTGAATGTTACTTCTTGCCAACTCTGGGCCCCGGGAGGTTGTGGTGGATAAGTGGAGCTGTTCCCCTGTGAGTCGATGCATAAGGAGCTCTGGGCCAGGCTTGAACCCAGGGCTTGAACTGGCTCTGAATTGCTCTGCTGTTTGCCCCTCCCGAGGATATTGGCATCCTCCCAGGCCGAGCACCAGCCACTAAAGGGAGCTCTCGCGGGGGAACGAGGGAACGTACTGTTCCAGACGGACAGAAGGTTCCAGACGGGGCTCGTTTTGTGCTTGCAGATATCATGGTGGAAGAGTTTGTGGAGGGTGGGCCTCTGGATCTCTTCATGCACCGGAAAAGCGACGTCCTCACCACACCATGGAAATTCAAAGTTGCTAAACAGCTGGCCAGTGCCCTGAGTTACTTGGTAAGTATGTTCTGACCTGATGTTGGTGGCGGTCCACCAGGAACCAGAATGCCCCAGGAGGGCCGGTAGGAAGGAAGTGGTAGCCAGGGACAGCCAAGCAGCTGGGGTGCTCAGACGCTGCGGTTAAACACAGGCGTGCCTGCTGCCTCATGAACACGGTCATGTTGGGTCACTCTATGTGCTCCAAACATATAAATGCTGATTAGAGGGAACGTCTGTCATGTCAGAGACCTGGCTGCTGCCTTGCAGTATACAGTAGGAGGAGAAATAGTGCAGTACCTGATGAATAAATGAAACTACCGGCATCAGTAGTAGCTCACATTTATTGAGCGCTTACCATGGTTCAGCTATTTACATGTTTTATAGGTTCTAATTCATTTAATTCCCACAAAAGCCCTATGAGGCACGTTCTACTGTTACTCAGTCTCACTGAGGCGGCCCATTCTGTAATATGCTCTGGTCACGCATTGGATGGGACCCCTGAGCTGCCTCGGTCTGGCTGTAGCTGGGGACCATGGAGGGACTGACCCAAGGGGCCAGGGTTGGAAATGGAGGGAGCGCGGGAAGACAGGCAGCCAGGGCAGCCTTGTTGAGCTCACCTTCTACCCTGCAGGAGGATAAAGACCTGGTCCACGGAAACGTGTGCACTAAGAACCTCCTCCTGGCCCGCGAAGGCATCGACAGCGAGTGTGGCCCGTTCATCAAGCTCAGCGACCCTGGCATCCCCATCACCGTGCTGTCCAGGCAAGGTGTGTCTCCCCACCCCCCCCACCCCACGCCTCGCCCTTCCCCTCTCCCACGCCCCACCGTGAGGCAGAGGGGGCTGGGTTGGGGTTCTGTCTCCTTGTAGAAAGTGCACTTCAGCAAGTGGGTGTCTGGTGCTCCTGCTCTGCCCTGAGGGTTGGGGGAAGATACGGAGTGTAAGCGGGGCTGGTCCCTGGCTCCTTTTAGGAGCTGACTGTAGCAGGAGATACAGATGACGCATCCGAGGCACTCCTGGTCCCCGCAGCCAGGAGCTGGGTTCACGCCGTCGGGTTAGCACCAGGGGAGGCCACTGGTCTGGGAGGAGCCGGAGAGGAGCTGGGTCTCCTGGGCCCACCCTCGTTTCTTTTGAAATCCACGGTAGTAGTTGGCAGTTGGGGAGGCCCCTGAGCGATTGCATTTTCTCTTCGAATGAGGTTATCCTGAGTGTGGGCCCCAAAGGAGAGAGACCTGGGAGCCGGGACGCGGAAGCCGGAGTGGGAGACCTGGCCCCGGCGCGGGCCGCTGGCCTCAGCACTGAGCTCAGCGCCCGGCACTTAGAGTTCTGCTCCGCCGTCGAAGGGGAAGGGAAGGCGCCCTGCGGGTCGTGCAGGGGCCTGTCCTGAGCAAGGGTTTGAGGCCCGGTCACGGATGACTCTAGAGCAGTGGTTCTCAACCTTCCTAATGCCGGGACCCTTTAATACGGTTCCTCATGTGGTGGAGACCCCCAACCATAAAGTTATTTTCGGTGCTACTTCATAACTGTAATTCTGCTACTGTGAATGAATCATAATGTAAATACCTGTGTTTTCCGATGGTCTCTTAGGCGACCCTGCTAGCAGTTCTCAGCCTGTGGGTTGCGACAAATTAATTTTATGGTCAGGAGTCACCACAACATGAGGAACTGTATTAAAGGGTTAGGGTAGGGGTGTCGAACTCAATCAGAGAAGGGGCCAAAATCTAAAATCCAGCCTAAATCGCGGGCCGAATCGTTTACTGAACAGTCACAAACTGTCATTGTGATGGAAACGCAGCGGAGTGCAGTGATGACAGCGCGGTGCGGGCCACATTGCAAGGCCTGGCGGGACGGATTTGGCCCGCGGGCCTTGTGTTTGACACATGTGGGTTAGGGCATCAGAAAGGTTGAGAACCACTGCTCTAGAACAAGTCGAGGAGCTGAGAGAGCCCACGAGAGAAGCCAGTGAAGTGCTGTGGGTGTTCCGGGGAGCACGGGGTGATGAAGGGAGGTGGGGGATGACGGGTAAGTGAGGCGGGCCTACAGCAAGGTGATGGCAGATGTGTGAGCCCAGAACATCGCCACAGGGGCCTGTGTCTGAGGACGTGAGAAGGCGGAGACGGAAGGGTGAGAGGGCCTGACCATGAACGCCCCGCTCAGGAACCGCCCGCCTGCCTCAGGAGCCAGAGGCTGTGCCCGGAGATCACTGTGCGGAGTGAGGGGCACGTCCAGGGACATGGCAGGTCACTGGCCTTAGAAGCCAGAACAGGGGCCGAGAGGTCCCCGGTATGAGAGAAGGGTGACTTCTTTACCTCAGTCTTCCCTTCCCTTGTTTTCCAAATGAAAGGAACCCATAGAAAAACAAACAAAATGTTGCTGGGTGATGGTGCAGAGTAGTTGAGAATAGCCCGCGCCTGCGCTGTGTAAGCTGGTCTCTTCTCCCTGTCCTCTCTTTCCGGAGCCTCTGTCCACACGGCCCCCTATTCTCCCTCCTCAGAGTGTTGGCCTCCACCCTGGGTGCTGTGCTGCTTCTGAGGCCAGAGCTTCAGAAGACGGGGCCGCACACCCCTCTCCTGGTGAGTCTGATAAACAGACACGTCTGCTGGCCCTGCTGCATCCAGTGTCCAGGAGGAGGGGCCTGGATTCATTTGGAAAACGCAACTTGGAATAGTTTCTTTGTGAGCTCACACTGCTTGCTGCAACGATCGTGATTTGCTCCCCAGGTGATGGCAGAGACTGACGTGTGCATGTCCGCTGTCTTTCTGCAGAATGCATAGAGCGGATCCCATGGATTGCTCCCGAGTGTGTGGAAGATTCCAAGAACCTGAGCGTGGCTGCTGACAAATGGAGCTTTGGAACCACCCTCTGGGAAATCTGCTATAACGGCGAGATCCCCCTGAAAGACAAGACGCTGATTGAGGTGAGCTTTTGTTTTCCAGGGTGCGAGCCGAGTGGGGGCTCCTTGGATGCTCATGGCCGTCTCGGGAGTTAAGAGGAAGCCTCGTATTGTGGGAGGAGATGGGCCCGTCTCTTGTGACCTTGCAACTGTAACTGAACTTACCTGGGCCTCAGTTTCAGCATCTGGGCAATGGGGATACATGAGATGCACTTTGTAGGATTTCTGTGCAGACTAATTACATAATGCACATATAGTCCAGGCACACAGTATAGGTCAGCAGATCATTATAGTATTATTTATCTGAGATTTCAAGTGCCTTTCAGTCAGCAAAATTAATACAGATATTTGTGGAGTTCTTTCTGTGTATCGGGCATTGACTAGGTAAAAGTTGGGGGCTCACAAGAAAGCAGACAGGCCTTGCCTTCCCTTGAGGAGAGTTGGGCTAAAATAACAAAATAAGGATTCCACAAAAAAATACCTCATACTGTAGGAGCAAGAGCCCTGCAGTTAGGAGTGCCATTACCCTCACTGTCCACGTTACAGGTCGGGTAACTGAGGCACAGGAGCCTAAGACAAGTGCCTGTTCCCCAGCTAGACTGTGAAACAGGCGAGGCTTCAGCCTCTTGTTCACTTGTGGAGTGGAGACTCTTAACTCCAAAGGGATAAAGGAGTAAAAATAAAAGTAATCCCGACCCAGCGATTTGGTGATTGGAACATGCCTGTGTGTTCAGAAGGGTAGACATAACTTGTAGCTGGGAGGAGCTGCTCGAAGTCCAGGGGGAAGGTGGCACTTGAGTTGTCTGTGGGAAGCTATGAGTGGTTTCGTTGGCCTAGAGCAGTGGTCGTCAAACTGCAGCTCGTGAGCACTGACCTAGACTCTCGATTCCAATAATTACAGGCTGCTGCTGTTCTTGTGATTAAGTCCTATCCCAGTGGTCCCCAAACTCATTAGTCAACAGAGCTGCAAACCATATGTGGCTCGCAAACTGCAGTTTTTGCTGAAAAGTGTGGTGAGGAATGATGGCTGATAAGGTTGGAGAGGTGTCTGTGGTCAGATTGTAAAAAGCCTCAATTGCATGAATTTTACTTGGGAGTGTTGTGTGGGACATTGAAGAGTTTCGTTGAGGAGAGAGAGGGTCAGAGGTCGGCTTGGGGACAGTTCATTGGGACACATGGTTGGGATGGACAGGCCGAGGAGAGACCAGCAGGGACTCATGCTCAAAGGCTGTAACTGGAGTGGCAGTGGGACCCAGAGTGGAGGGTGTGTACATAGGAGATCACTGAAGAGGAGAACCTTTAACCACCTAATGTTTTACCAAGCAAAGATGGTGCAGGACTGGGGAAAAGGGTGTCAGGGCAAAGCCAGTAGGGAAACCATCAGGTCTATAAATCTGTTTGGAATTTTCAGCCTAGGCTTTTGGGAAGATCATTTTATTTCGAACTTCCTTGGAAATGAAACAGTATACCCTTTGTTGTCTGTCAGTATTTATTGAGTGCCTGCTGTGTACCCAGGGCTGAGCTGGAAATGGGGATGGTGTGAGGAAGGGTTTGATAAAAGAAGTCCGCCAGTCCCCTCCCAGGCAGCCATGATGGGGTTGGACAGCCCTGGGACAGGGAATGGTGAGTGACCCTCAGAGGTGAGGGCAGCCTCAACTCCTTACTCCTAATCTCTCCTCCTCCCCTGGGACCCTGACTCTCACCTCACCCTCAGGGGACAAGAAGAGGAACTAGTTCTCTTGGGATTCAGAAACTGGAGTTTCACTTAGTAGTTCTTTTTTAAGTGGCATCAATTATTTCTGAATTTTAAAGTAACAAACAGTTGAAGAAAATAGCGATCACCCTATTGCTGTCACTCCTGACACCATTTTACTTTGGCAGACGGTCTTCCAGTCTGTTCGTATCTCTTGCTAAAAACAAAATTGGGACCATGCCAGATAGAGTTATACATGCTATATCTTTTCATTAATATTGAGTGCTTGACTAAATAAGCTTTACAATTTTACAAATTCAATGTAAAAGTTGATTGCTCTGTTAAACTAATTTACTTAACTAATTTTACATCTGGCATTTGGGCTGTTTTCAAACTTGTCATGTTTTATCTAAATCTGCAGGGAATACCTTGACATATAAATCTTTGTTTACATCTGATGTATTTCTGTCATGGAGTAATTAGAATTAATGAGTTAAAGGGTTCCAATGACCTGGAGATTTTATACATGTTGCCAAACTGTATTCCAGAAAGGTTGTGTAACTTGAATGCGGCTTTTTGGGGTCCCGGTTATTTTAGAATCAGAGATCTCCCCACACACGCCTATGAAGTCTACCTGGAAGCAGAGCTGTTGGGACATTAAATTGGGATTGATTACTCCTCCTGACCTTGGGCTGAAAGATTTGTGGATGGTTCCTTTGGTTTCTTCCATGTTGTCTTTTTCTGCACAGAAAGAGAGATTCTACGAAAGCCGGTGCAGACCAGTGACGCCGTCTTGTAAGGAGCTGGCTGACCTTATGACTCGCTGCATGAACTATGACCCCAACCAGAGACCCTTTTTCCGAGCCATCATGAGAGACATCAATAAGCTGGAAGAGCAGAGTAAGACACTGCCTGGCCCTGTTGAACCAAGACTAGCCCATGCCCTGGAGGGGGGGGGTGGGGGGGTAGTCAGGGGTAACTGATACCTGGGAGCCTATGAGTGGCAGTCATGTCTTGTTAATGACATGTTTTCATTTTTCTTCCGTTAGATCCAGACATTGTCTCAGAAAAAAAGCCAGCAACCGAAGTGGATCCCACACATTTTGAAAAGCGGTTCTTAAAGAGAATCCGTGACTTGGGAGAGGCAAGTTACACTCTAGTCCTCCCTGACCACCTCCACCTGCACCTAAAGCTGCTCTCCATTCTTTCCCACTTCTGGTCCATGTTTCTAAGAGAAAGTATATTATTGCACTTTCTTTGGGCCACTGGTATCACAGGGTTATGCCGCTCACATAGTGACAGCATGCGCACATGGCTGTATATGCACATAGGACATGTTCTCGAAGGGGCAGTAGAGCATGCAAAGAGAGCAATATGGGGGAGTAGGTACAGATATGGTGGAAATAGAAAAATCTCTGGGCATCTGAGGCTGCTTACTAGTAAATGAAGGATGCATTTACTACACAGAATGCCACAGCAGCTTTCCTTTGGACCTCAAATCAGTTTCCTAACTGATAGAGAAGACTTGCATCTTCATACAGATTTTTCTGGAGTTCAGTTAAGTAAACAAGACAATGTCCTCCCTTGAATCTCTGTGGTGTGCCAGGGATGCTGGGTATTTTACAAGCACAGAGTCCCTAGTTCTTCACAGTATCCCTGAGGGGTTATTACTGCTGTACACATTGAGCACTCCTGGACCAGCTCAAAGATTTGGTGACTAGGCCAACATCACTATCAAGTGGCTAAGTCTTAGATCAGTAAGAGGGGGGGTGGCATGTGAGGAAGTGGCTGCGGTGATGGTAGAACCAGCTACTGCAAGGTCAGGCTGCGCTGTGCACCCTTGGCCTTCAGGGGAACAGCACCGGGAGCAGGACTCATCTTTTTTTAAGTTGAAAAAATTTGACATGTAACAGTGTATAAATTAGAGATATGTAGTTTGTGCTACAATTGATACTTACATATTGTAATATGGCCGCCCATGTAGTGATGTCTATCACATTACTTACTTACAACGCAGTATTATCTATGTTCAGTGTACTGTATGTTAAATCTTTTTGGCTGTTTTAGTATCTGTTACAAGTCCATACCCTTACACACCATCTAAATCCCTGGTAACTACTGTATAACTATGGTTTGTGATTTTTAAAGAGGTTTTATTTTTTATTTTTTTAGATTTTTTGTTTGTTTTTGTCTCTCACTTAGCATATTGTGCTCAAGTTATTTATGTTATTGCAAGTGGCAGGATATCACCCTTGCTCATGACTGAATACTATTCCATTGTATTTTTGCATTCTTTTTTTCTTTTTCTTTTTTTCTTTTTTTTTTTTTAACCATTCATCATGGGCATTTGTATTTTTTCTATATCTTGCCTAGTGTGAATAGTGCTGTGATAAACATAGAGTGCAAATATGTCCTTGAACTCCTTTTTTCATTTCCTTTGGGTATTCTCCAAGAAGTGCAATTGCTGGATCGTACAGATCTATTTTTAATTTTTGTGGAACCTTCATATTGTTTTCTGTAGTAGTTAGACAAATAAACATTCCCACCAATAGGGTGTAAGGTTTCTCTTTCACATCCTCACCTGTCGTTTTACTTTCTTGATGATAACCCTTCTAGCTGATGTGAAGTGATAGCTCTTTGTGGGTTTTATTTGCATCATCTCCCTGTGAAGTTAAATGTCTTGTTGTATGTCCTTTTTTTTTTTTTTAAATGTCTATAGTTCTGCCCATTTTTTATTAAATTGTTCAGGTATTGTTGTTTTTTATTAACTTATGTTCTATATATTTTTTGGATATTAAATCCTTATCCAATATATGGCTGCAAAATGTTTCTCCCATTTTGTAGGCTGTCTTTTCATTTTGTTAAGTTGTTTCTCGTGCTGTGCAGAAGCTTTTGAGTTTGAGATAGTCCCATATGTTCTTTTTTTTTTTCTTTTTTTCTTTTGGGCTTTTGGCATCAGGTACAAAAAAATCATTTCCAAAACCAGTATTCCTAATGAGCTGCTTCCCTATGTTTTCTTCAGGGAGTTTTACGGTTTCAGGTCTTATGTTTAAGTCTTTGATCCACTCCACTTTGAGTTAATTTTTATGAGTGGTGTGAAGTAGGGTTCCAATTTCACTGTTCTATACGTGTTTCTCCCGTTTCCCCAGCACCATTTGTTGAAGAGGTAGCCTTTCCCCATTGGGAGTTCTTGAGTGCATCTTGCCTCAACTTCCGAGCATGTTCCTGCCAGCCCAGCCTAATCCAGCACATGCATCTTCCCTCCAGGGCCACTTTGGGAAGGTGGAGCTCTGCAGGTATGACCCTGAAGGGGACAATACAGGGGAGCAGGTGGCTGTCAAATCCCTGAAGCCAGAGAGTGGAGGGAACCACATAGCTGATCTGAAGAAGGAAATCGAAATCTTAAGGAACCTCTATCACGAGAACATTGTCAAGTATAAAGGCATCTGCACGGAAGATGGTATGTTGTGCGAAGTAGGGTTGGTTTCTAAAGACTTAGCGACTGTCTGGGGTCACAAGGACCAGTGCTGAGGCGGCAGTGCCCGAGGTTGTATGTGCGCTGGCTGGTGGCCCCCATGAGCTGTAGGGCTTGGTTGTAGGCACTGACACCCCTCAGCAGCTACAGAGCTCCAGGGAAGCCGCGCAGCCTCCCGCAAGCCAGGGCGTGACTCCGGCATCACCTTTCCAGGCTGTTCACACACCCGCACTGGGGACTGACCGTCACCCATCCAGATACTGGCACTTGAGGCACACAGCAATATGAAACTGGCACCCGCCCCTTGCTGCTCCTAGTCCTCTGATCCAACACTAGCCAGGGTATTTTATTTTCCAGTTGTCTAAGGCAAGGTGGCAAATGGTGCTGACTAAGAAATGTGTCTGTCTGCAAGCCAGTACTTTAAAATTGGCAGAGAAGTGATGTGGTTAATTTTTTTTTTCATTATTATTTGCCTGGTGGTATGTAGCACACTCTATTATCTCAGTGAATGCTGATGGCCCTGGGTGGGTACACGAGTGTTACTATCCTTGTTACTGCTGAGGGGCCAGAGGCTGAGGTTGGGGGACTTGCCTGTGGTTCAGAGGTGATGCTGACGGATCTCCAGATCCTGTGCCCGTTACTCTCCCTTGGTTCCTTTCTTTGGTAACTTTGTACTGATGTTTTGTTTTGTTTTTAATACAGGAGGAAATGGTATTAAACTCATCATGGAATTTCTGCCTTCTGGAAGTCTTAAGGAATATCTTCCAAAGAATAAGAACAAAATTAACCTCAAACAGCAGTTAAAATATGCCGTTCAGATTTGTAAGGTAAAGAAGAAACATGTTAAAGATTACAGAAAGGGGCACTCATCCTGGGTGATTGGTTTGTAATTAGACTTACCGGTAATTTTAACGAGTTTATTTTGCTCTACGTGACTTGGATGAACAATTAGCGTCTACTGAGAAACTGACCTGATGGTTAAGTATAGCTGATTTACTGTGTGTTTCTTTGAGTCAGGTGGGTTTTGCTATTTTTTTTTTTTTTGCATAAAGTGAAAACCTGAACAGTGATATGTGAATGAAATGACATTGCATTATGTTTTGCTATGAAATGATAGGAAACACAGTGTGAACTGACCTTCCGCATTGCCTCTGCCTTTACTTCTCTCCCCAGGGGATGGACTATTTGGGGTCACGACAGTACGTTCACCGGGACTTAGCAGCAAGGAACGTCCTTGTAGAAAGTGAGCACCAAGTGAAAATTGGAGACTTCGGTTTAACTAAAGCAATTGAAACCGACAAGGAGTACTACACAGTCAAGGATGACCGCGACAGCCCCGTGTTCTGGTAACTACATCAAACAGACTTCGGTCTCGTCGGTATTTCACAGGGTTTCTGCTGTTTTGATAGGCCCTTTCTAGCTCTGCCACGTCTCCCATTCCTCCTACCTGAGTCTGAGTTAGAAAGGCCTTAGAACATTTGGAATTGTGTGATCTCTGCCCTCAGGGAACAGCTTTAGGCTCTTCCTCTGAAAGCAACTCAGAGAAATGTCTGAGCTTTGTATGGCACCATCTTCCAAAGAATAGAGAAATCTAACCAACCATCACCTCCACATCTCCAGTTTCCCAAGAGAGGGCACTTATTTTTTTTTAAATATGTTTTTATTGGTTTCAGAGAGGAGGGGAGAGAGGGAGAGAGAAACATCAATGATGAGAATCACTGATCAGCTGCCTTCTGCAAGCCCCCTACTGGGGATCGAGCCCATAACCCAGGCATGTGCCCTGACCAGGAATTAAACCATGACCTCCTGGTTGAGTGGTCGACAAACTCATTAGTCAACAGAGCAGCAAACAGCAGCTCGCGAGCCGCATGTGACTCGTGAGCTGCAGTTTGCTGACAACTGTCCTGGTTCATAGGTCGGTGTTCAACCACTGAGCCATACCAGCCAAGCAAGAGGGCATTCACCTAATATGGTTCTTAAAACTATTAGCAGTTAGAATAGGCACATCCGTGTCGAGGCAGCCTGGTGGACAGGTAGGAGAAGGGGGCAGGAATGAGGTGACAAAGTGGACATGGAACAGATTCAAGGAGACTCTGGACAGAGCAGAGCAAAATCCATGGGAAACGTGGGCATATTCTCACGAATCACCAGACTTCCCTGATGTCCGCCTGTCAGCCCAGAACGCTGTCCAGGAGAGAGGTTGTTAAGTGTTCACTTCACACCCTACCCACCCCCATTCAACTAATGAGCACCTGGGAGGTACATCCTACACAGATCGCTCCCCTCCGTGGAGACCAAATCTTCCTTTGTTCTTTAATCAAACATGTGTCAAGACACAAGCAGACCAAGTTTAGAGTTTAATGGGTGAGGCAACCAATTCCATGATACCATAAATATAGGGGGGGGGGGGGTTCAGGCTTGGTTTTCTGTAAGTTCTAAGAAATCTTAGAAGATTCCTGGGGGGTTGTGAGTCACCAGGCATGTGTGACTCACAAGAATGAAGCAAGAGCAATGGTATCCCAGGAACTGACATCAGTTTGGTGTGGCTGGTAATGATGTGGGAGGTCTGCCTCAGGAGCGGTGTGTGTGTGTGTGTGTGTGTGTGTGTGTGTGTGTGTGTGTGTGTGTGTAATGTTGGGGAGGGTCCCAAGAGCTTTGGGATACTGTTGGGTGGGAATTTGTTTTTAAAAGGTCTCTGTGGAATGGAGGGGAGCCAGAGAGTCTGATTCAGCGAGAGCCAGTGATGGTGTGAATAGGACAGTGAAAGTGGGGTTTAGGAGAGGTGAGTAGGTATGAGAAGTATTTAGGAAATTAGATATGGGATGCCTTAATTTTTGGCTTAAGCAATTGGGTATCATTCATCAGAACATTGACACTGGAAGAGGACTGGGCAGGGAGGTCACTGCTGATGCATTCTGAACTTGCAGGCACATCAGATCTGGGGCCTGTCCTCATATACCTGCCTCCACGTGAAGAGCACACACTTATACCTTGCTATTGTTTCGGAGGAAATACATACCGACATTAATACATACATTAAATTCTAAGACAAATCAAAGAGGGATTTTCCTTATTCTGTGAGGTATTTGTTGGCATAGCCTTCGCAGGAAGTGAAGTTTCACGTTTTCCTTTCTTTTAGGTACGCCCCGGAATGTCTAATTCAGTGTAAATTTTATATCGCCTCTGATGTCTGGTCCTTCGGAGTGACTCTGCACGAGCTGCTTACTTACTGTGATTCAGACTCCAGTCCCATGGCCGTAAGTTGTACTCGCCTGTTCAGTTGAGTCTAGCTTCCAATTAAAATGTGTCCCGCCCTGGCCTGCACATGCTTTCAGGGTGCATGAGGGAAGCACCCTCTCCCCCCCCTCCTCCCCACTCAGAAAAGCAGTGGAAAAATATCCTCAGGTGAAGATTAACAACAACAAAACATGTGTCCATCCTTCTGCTTTGTAAGTTTTGTTCTTAAGTGGAATCCAGTTCGTGCATTTTAATGGGAAGTGTTGCTTTCCATCTAACTTGGTTTGTTCCCTGACACTTATGTGTGGCTCTCCCACATCCTGCTTTCCCAAGGAGCCCACAGTTCCCTCAGATATTCCTGACTTTCCAGGGTCTCGTCTGTGTGAAGGAGCACTGGGTAGGAGCTTTGCTTGAGCCTCACGAATTCCTAAATGCGGTCGTTCTCACTGGGAAGGTTTCCTGGGGTGGGTTGAGTCTCATCATTGAGAGCTAATAAGATTTTGGACTTGCATTTAGAGTTACTAAGGATAAAAGCCTTTTTGTTATTTTAATTTCCAGGTAATTCTAGAAATTCCACCTTAATTTGGTTTATAGAACTATGTGCACACTAAAACATTTTGTCTGGTTTTATTTTACACAGTTGTTCCTGAAAATGATAGGCCCCACTCACGGCCAGATGACCGTGACGAGACTTGTGAACACACTGAAAGAAGGAAAACGTTTGCCTTGTCCTCCTAACTGTCCAGATGAGGTATTTACGGGCCGGGCACTTTACAGTGATACCACTCAGATCTTACTATGTTTTCACAGCTTGGCTTCATCCAGCAAGGAACAGTGTGGGGAGAGCAGGAAGGATAGACAGTCCTTTAAAATTGTTTTCTGAAGCTGAATTTCAGATATTTGAGAAATCATCTTTGGGCCAGATGACAAGCACAAATTATGTACACCCTCCAATAGTAGGCTCACCTCAGAAAGTGCCATAGGAGCATGTTTTGGTATAGCCTTACTATGAAAATACATGTAATTACATTTTGTGTATTGTAGAAGTTTGTCCTACTTACTAACAGCATTTATGATGTTCAGTTCGAGCCTGTAAGACTAATTCATTCTCTTCAGTACATCTTAGTCACAGAGTAAGGTACCCAGAGTCTAAACTGAGATAAAACTTCACCCTTAAATTAGTTTGCCATAATGACCTGGATTTTATTTATTTTTTAATTTCTTTATTGATTAAGGCATCACATATTTGTCTGCATCCCCCCCATTCCCATCTCAAACCCCTCCCTACGCATTCCCCTACCCCCCTGGATTTTTTTTTTTTGTAGGTCATTTAGCCCATGAGCTTCTCAAATGTTAAAATATTATTTATGAAATATAGTTGTGACATTTTCTATATTAAACATTCAAATATTCTTGTTACCTAGTCTTACTAAGGCAAGTCATTTACGTTTCTATACTTTTTTTTTTACTTTTACTGTTTTTTCTTTTTACAGGTTTATCAACTTATGAGAAAATGCTGGGAATTTCAACCAAATAATCGGACAACCTTTCAGAACCTTATTGAAGGGTTTGAGGCACTTTTAAAAAGCATGAATAACATTTAAATCTCAGTTGTATCGAGTACTCTTCCCCAACAAATACCCAAGCCATTTAAAAAAATTTTAATGGAAAAACTTTATATTCTGTTTAAAAAGATACTTGGGTATGTAATTCACATATAAGGCACGCTGTGGTGCTTAATATGTGTAAGTACTTCCTGTTTATTTGTCACTGTTACTGGTGCCAAATTTAATGACAACCAAAATATTAGTAAGCACTCCTTTTGGAATGATATGCCACCATTTCATCTGGCTAGTGTACCACCACAGTTACGTACGATAGGATTTTTTTTCAAAACAAAATCTCAAGATGATTGCTTTTTCCCAGTTGCCAGTTGATTTAAATGTTTTTCTGGTACATAAATCAAAAGATAAAAGGTAAATGGACTTAGTCAATACTTTAACATGCCCTAAAATTGTCATCTATATAGTGATAGAACAAGCATTCTTGAATTAGATATCAGTTAGTATACTATCATTTCTATACAAAGATGTGTGTATTCCTGTCATCAATAGGATTTAAACTTTGTTTTTCCAGTAGCTTAGCTCTTGTCCCCTTGGATGACCAGCGGTACCCCCCCCTTTTTTTTTTTTTTTAGAAAACTGGTTGTACTCGGGGGACTGCTATGGAATAGATTGTTTGCTGCATGGTGTTAATTCTTGAGTACTAAGCCTGTGCCAGTGCTTTCCCCAAAAGTATACTTTTAAACAGATTTGATTCCAAGAACCTATTAGACATGCTTTTAAGAAATGTCAGTGTATATATATCCTTTTATAACTCGACCACTTTGGGGCAAGCTATTCCAGCATTGGTTTTGGATGTAACTAGTCAGAATATATACTGCATTGCACTGTTCTTAAAGTGTCTCAGTACTTACCCTCCATCTATAACAGTCAATCACTATTTTGACCATCGCCCTATGGCAGCAGTTTTCAACCTTTTTCATCTCATGGCACACGTAAACTAAAATTCTGCGGCATACCAAAATAAAAAAGGTATAATTTTGATTCATTCACACCAGGTGGCTATTATTATGTTAGCTGTAATTTTTTTTTTTTTTTTTTAAACAACTTAAGGAAAAAGAGTGTGCCCCTGACCTAGTCAGGTATTGCACATTTAACAATTCTGGTGGCAAACTGGTTGAAAATTGCTGCCCACTGGTATAAAACTTGAAAGAAAAGGACCTGCTAGAAGCACTATGGAGTTCAGGATCCACTAGACAGTTTTGAGGGAGCTGGGTAATCAAAATGTCTACTCTCTGATTCAATGTGAACTATATGACCAAGAGTATGAAATTTTTTTTTTTTTTTTAACCTTTTGAGCCTGAAGAGAGTTCTGGATCGATTCATTTAAATTTGTTCAATGACCCTCCATCACCAAGATGTCTGTCTGTTCAAACCTGTGGCCACTCTATATGCACTTTGTTTACTCTTTATACAAATAAATAATACAAGACTTCACATGCAAATGCCTTTTAATATTAAGACTCCATTTTCAAAGCATTTCAAACAATTGGTTTACTTAGAAAAATATATTACTAACAACACTTGATTTGTACTTATGTCTAATGTTAGTGGTGCCTAAGCCAGGACAGAGGGGCAGATCCACATGTGCTGTACGTGGCTTTTCATTTCGCAGCCTGATTTAAAATTCACCATTTTCTGTCTGCACTATCACAGAGGTGACTAAGCATTGAAGCTTAATGCAGTAGGAGAAGTGCAGAGCTTGGAGACCCCATTATTCGTCTACTGAGTCATGCCTATCCTGATCGTTATTCTTAGGTAGTATCCTTGTATCCTTCTTAGAAATTATCTTAGTTTAGCTTTCTAGCTGTCATTTTCCAAAAGAAGTTAATATATGCAATAAATTATACCAAGTAATGTTCTTTACAACATATGCACCATTTTTTTTAACTACATAATTAAGACAGGATAGATACCTCATCCTGCTAAAAAATAATAAGTCCCCCAAATTACAAAATATTTAACGATCTGAATTCAAAAAGACTAGGATCGTTGAGATACCTAAATTCCTTATCAATTACAGTCTCGTAACAAGAAACAGACTTTGCTATTTCCAGATGGCAAAGGGTTTCTCATGCATTTAATACCAATGTCAGAAGTTATATGCAATAAAAGAATTTTTAGCCTACCATACTACAACAGAATAAGAGAAAGTGGAGTAAAGCTTATTAGTTCAAAATGGTGGTAGATATTGTCACTCCATAAGACTCCTAAAGAAAGGATAGCATTGACTGCTTTACTGTCATACTGTGAAATAACGCATTTAATGATCCAAATATGTCCTGTCCCAGTAATGATCAAATTACTAGTGGATATGTTATGGAATGAGACAGAAACCTAAGTTCCTTGCCACTTACAAGTCAGCTGCAAAAGTTAAAATTCTTTCTTCAATACTACTAGATCAGGGGTCAGCAAACTTCCTTGATCAAAGGCCAGATGGTAAATATATTTGAGACTTTGCAGGTCTCTGTCCAGTTACTCGGCTCTGCCATTGTAGCACAAAATTAACCTTAGGGTGTGAGTAAGCATGGTTGTGTTCCAACAAAATTTTATGTATGGACACAATTTCATAAAATTTTCATTTTTCCTCCATTTAAAAATGTAAACATCATTCTTAGCTTGTAGTCTCTACAAAAACAGGTGGAGGACTGAAATTAATCCCAGGGGATGGTTTGCCACTCCCTTAAGTAAGATCATCAAAGCTACTTTTCTTAAAAAACCTTATTTTTTCTCAAAAGGCATACATGGTTAATAACACATTAGAAGTAAGTCATCTGTGGGAGTGTATACCTGGACATCACTCTATGTGGGGGTCTTATAATACATGGCTGGTGTGTGTGGCTAATAATTTAGTTTGCATGTAGAGTATCTTTTTTCAATATTGCTGCATTTTGTACTTGTACTCTTGTAATTCTAAAAGTCTATAAATAAGATTACTTCTAGGGAAGGTAAATAGAAATGCACATTGGCATGTAAGAAACTCATTTTTCTAAGGCCCAGGAAACAAGACTGTTTCCCATTTATTGCTTCAAATTTTTATGTATGGTATCAAAATTATTCCCACTCCTAAAACAAGGAATATTGTTAATTTCTGCACTGGACTATAAGTTAATACCACATTGATTAAGATGCATTTACTTCTATTGGAAAATGTCCCTTCTTATTGCTACTTACTTTTTATTTGGCAATTCTGCCTGCTGCACAACACATTTCCTTCTGGGAAATTATAAACCCGTATTTAAAGGATATGGCTAGTATGAATGTAGTTAAGGCAGCGATGAATAGCAGAGATACTCAAAGAACCGTAGGAGGTTATATAAGGAGAGAACTTAGCTCAGTACACACGCTTCTTTTTTAAGTAGGTCTCCATGTAATATGCTCCTGTGCCCTGAGAATGCTGGTCAACAAATTCCACTGAACCACCTTCTTGGGCAGAGATGAGATAAGATGAGCCTCGCTTTTCATTTCTTAAAGATGACACCTATGAGAAAAAGAAATCATAACTAATGCTAAAATCTAAATTACAATTGGTTTGTTAAAGATGTGTACAAGAAAATCTATTCTACTTCTGATTTGGTGTAAAAACAGAATAGCAGGATAAATAACAATCAAAATCACTTGTGCAAAATACAGCCCAGTCTCTGAATGCCCTTTCTTCCTCAACCCCCACATTTTGGGGAAAGAAACAAAAAAGACAATGCAATTGCAGTTGCTTTTGCTGATTACCTATGTCCACCCCTCTGAATCAGAAATCAACACCTGATGTGAGTATTCCTCTGAGGAAGGAGAGTGGCTAAGAAACTGAGCTGCATATCAAGTGAGAGGTAACGTTTGTATAGCAAGAGAAGAACCTAGCAGATGTAAAAACTGGCAGAAGACGTCAGTGAAAATAATTCTAAAAAGGAATGTGAATTCAAACTTTAGAAATTATTAGAATGCAGATTTCCAGGCTGCATCACAGATTCTGATGAAGTGTTTACGATAAGGGCAAAATGTTCTTCACAAATAAGACAAGAAATCAGACTGTGCAACACAACCCTGTGAGCTCCTAACTTAGATTTAGCCTTTACAGACACTACATGTGAAAATCATGTAGATGTGACTCATAAGGAAAACTTGCAGCAACGCAGGAGAGGCTTCTCACATTAAAATTACAAAGGTCACAATTTTCAAAATGAGGGTTAACTTCATAGGGGACAGATGATGAGTCTGTCACCACAACTTGTAAAAAAGAGCTCTCGTTCATGTGAAGGAGAGGATTCAGAAGAGTTGGCCAACACTAAGATGACACAGGAGGTTACTGAGTGCCTTCCTTCCATGGCCTCACCAAATGCAGAGCTGCACATTGGTAATTCCCTCTCAGAGAGACCCAGAAACCGCACAAAGAGAAAATGCCCACATAGAAATGGTGAGGAAAGGCCGAGAGACACTTGCCATAAACCCCAGCATAGCACCAAACAGTTCAGAGGGAACCCCAACTTCTAGTTCTGAGGAGTGAAGGGTTTGGATTTCACATCCAGTGCCTCAACTTTTTAAAGGCTTTCATTGGAGTGACGAGCTCCCAAAACATCCAGCTCTGAAAACCAGCAGGTGTCCATGAGAGCCATAAGAATATGGCAAACAAAGAAGCAATTAACAGGTGAACGAACTCCTTCAGCTGTGTTTAGTCCGGATAGCTTTATCTCCAAATCTGAAGGACAACTTTGCTGAGTACAGTATTCCATACAAATAAACATCAAAGGACAGCAAAGGAAACTGTACTTACTCAAGACAAAATAAACTTTAAACCAAAGAATGTAATAAGAGAAAGGTGATTGAAGAGAGACCAATCAAAAATCATTAGGAATATTTATGAACCCAAGATAGGTGCACCTAATATATAACACAAATATTAATCATTCAAATGTGAGAAATCTGCAGCAAAGCAGGGAAGTGCATACTCCACTTTATACAGGAAGAAAATCATTAAGGAGACATTGGCTTTAAACTACACATTAAACCAGATGGACCTTACAGACGTATACGGAATGTTCTATTCCAAAGCTACCAAATACACATTCTCAGCACATGGAACATTCTCCAACATAGATTGCATATTAAGCCACAAAATAAGTCTCAATAAATTTAAGATGATCAAAATCCAAATCAAGCATTTTTTTCAGACCACAATGTAATGAGATAAGAAAACTGGAAAATTCACAAAGGAGATTAAACAACATGTTTCTGAACAATGAAAGAAGAAATTTTGAAAAGTAATTGTGAGAAAAGTGAAAAACAATTTATCAAGACTTATGGAATGAAGTAAAAGCAGTTAAGGTAAGTTTATAGTGATAAATGCCTACATGAAGAAGAAAAGTGATCTCAACATAACACCTCAAGGAACTAAATACATACTAAGCCCAAAGTGGGTAGAAAGGAGGAAATAACAAAGATTAAACAAATAAATAGAAATTAAAAAGACAATAGAAAAAGATAAATGAAACTAAGCTGGTTCTCTGAAAAAATAAAATTAACAAAACTTTAGTTAGCCTCATTAAGAAAAGGAGGACTTAAAGTTATGATGAAAGAGGAGTTGTTACAACTTATATCACAGAAATCGATCAGAGAGATCACTAAGAATAATTATAGGCAAACAAGGTGAATAATTTAGAAATGGATAAATTCATAGAAACACAATATGACTGAATTATGAAGACACAGGAAATCTGAATAGACTAAGTAGTAGTAAGAAGACTGAACCAGTAATAAAAAACCTCTTAAGAAACAAAATTCCAGGACCAGATGGCTTCACTGATAAGTTCTACCAAACATTTAAAGAATACCAATCCTTATTTTTTTCTAAAATATAGATAAGGAGACAACACTTCAAAACTCATTTTTACAAGGCTAGCATTACCCTGGTACCAAAACCAGACAAGGGCATTACAAGAAAAGAAAATTAAAGGCAAATATCCTTAATAAACACAGATGCAAAAGTCCTTTACAAAATATTACCAAACTAAATTCAACACTACATTAAAAGGGATCATACACCATGATCGCATTGGATTTATTCCAGGGGTACCCGAATGGTTTAGCAGCTACAAATCAATGTGATATACCCCATTAATAAAGAGTAAAACTCATCTCAAATCATCTGACAAAATTCAGTGTCCTTTCATGATAGAAACTCTTAACAACTGGGTGTAGAGAAAGGTCCTATATGACAAGTCCACAGATAACATAAGGTATCCAAATCATAAAGGAAGTTAGTCTATTTTCATATGACATGATACTATATATTTCTGCCTTAAAAGCTCTATGAAAAGACTTAGCTCTAATAAACAATTTCAGTAAAGTTGCAAGATACAGGTGCATTACTATGAACAATGAACTTTAAAAGAAAAACTATATATTATATAATCAAGACCAATATAATACATCAGAGATGAGAAATC